GGATCTTCTGGTTACAAGGCAACCTCGTGCCACCTCCATGCAATCAAACAAAATCCCTACAAAACCAATACTTGAAAATTAATATATATTATATCTTATGTTTTATAATTGTAAGAACCTGAAGAGAAATTATTGAAAAGAATATTCTTTGTACCGATTGACTTTTATCACATACACCCTTGAACTTATGGTGTCAATTCATGGTCTAACCCCATCCCTTCTTTTTTCCCCAGTCCCAAGGCTGCTAAAATAGAAAAAAGCAGTATGGAAACCGCTGGGGATGACATCGACCGTACATGCTCATGCCATCACCAATGTCACAAGATGATGACCTAATTTGATCAGTTTTTCTCTGGTAGATTTTCTCATCGTAACCCAAATTAGAAGTGATCATAACTTAGGTCTCATTATTGATAAAAGTATAAAACTTGGGCACTGTGGAATTAGGTCTCATTAGTTCAAGTGATTAATGAATGACAGTAGTGACCAATTTAAAATTCTCTCATGGATCAAGTCTTCTCTCTCTTTTTGAATCAATTTTTTTTCCAATAGTTTTCGTCATTGTTTATTTATTAGTTTGTCAAATTTCGGTTAAGCTAGATACATTACAAAAACCTACTACAGCTTGGTTCAGACTAGATAAAAAATGTATCTGAATGAACTAACCGTGTCTCAATGACTTCAACACTTACCTATATTAATCAAATCTTTGTACTGGCTTCAAGCGCTGCTTTACTTTGCCTTGAGTAACCAAGCATGCGATTGTAAACCACCATATTTAATAATTAATACATTAAAAATATACATGGAGTGGAACACAGAGGCCTTCAGCAGAACATTTCCATTTCGTCCTGATCTCTGGTTCCACAGTTGCACAGGGGCTCTTATTTACTCCAACCATGATCCTGTCTATCAGATGCCCAACTTATCATTTCCCAGTCGAGGGCCTGCTGCGCGATTTCAACAAATAGTCTCTACAGAGTTTATCTGATCCATCTCTACTTTTCTTTCGGAATATTTGTTGAGCACAATCGGTTGTTGACTGGTTCATTCCCAGAGTTTTTTTTGTTGCGAATTCTTTCTGACTGGCCATTCGATCTTCAGTATACAGGCAACACTGTTGATATAAAAGTCTGCAGCTGGCTATTGGAAATGCTTTTCTGATCCGTATAGAAGAGCTAACTGATTGACCTAACATTGTGTTGCGTTATTTATGCGGCAGAATTAATTCAGAAGGTTTCCAAATTGATTTCAGAGTGATGATGAACCTCCATCTTGCCTTTATGATTCTGGTCTGTTTTGGACATCTTCATCTCTTCTGCCACCTGTGGTGTTGAAACGATGCTGCCTAGATATGTGAAAGCTTCATTTCCACTGCTAAGGTTCATTGAGGCATGTAAGAATGAGCTCGAAATCTAATAAACAAAAAAAAACAACCATATCTTCAAGCATTGGTTTTGTAGGGATTTTGTTTGATTGCATGGAGGATTTCATCATGAGCTAACGTTATTTAGAGAACCACTGGAAAACTTGGGAGTACTGGACAGCTGTTTCGTCCTAGTTTGGGACTCTTCATCAGTCCTGGGTTCGAACCCCTGTGGGTGCGTACTGATGAAGAGTTCCAAACTAGGACGAAACAGCTGTCCAGTACTCCCAGGTTTTCCAATGGTTTTGTAACCATTGTCAGCTCATGATGAAATCCTCCAAACAACCATATCTATTTTAGAATCTAGTGATTATATAGAACACTTCTAAGGCCAAGTGAAACTTGAAGCACCGCTAACTACCAATCAGCAAATGACATCGAATGGTCGAATGAGGTTCATGCACGTGAGTTGAAGGTTGTATTGCGCTTGATTCGCATTGAATGCCTGCTCTAACAAATTTACGCTTGTATTTCGATGAGGATAAGGTTTTGAAGCATTGCCTGGATTTGGGGTTGCTTAAAAAGGAGAGGATTTGTTCATTTGGGTGGAGGTGTCATGAGTTTTAAAAGCTCTGGTAGGTCGATTGATGCATATGTCCATCGTTGTGCAATTTGTGCTCGAGACAAGTTAGTATCAGGGAAGATAAGCTGATGATTTTAATATTTCGTAGGAACAGTTTTTGCTAAGTCGCATCTCTCCCTAACCCAGATTTTGTATATTTGTAATTACTGGGTTTTAAAGCGACCTGTGAGAGGTGCAGCTGCTGAAACTGAAAATAACCTCGTATCAACAGTTCAGTGTGGTACCAACAATGCATTAGCATCGGCTCATGAAAAATGGAGGGAATTAATTCGTTGTTAGGCGTACACCTGGACGAAACTGTCTTATTGAAGAAAAAATACAGTCGTGGTCGTGAGCGAGCCAATACTGTTTGGGTGATCGGTTTATATGACATCTACTTGCAGAAAGGATTCGTCTACTACCTTAGTACCTATTGTCACTCGACTAGTGAAACAGGGATCCATAGTACATACTGATTATCAATTGGAAGGTTATAAGTCGCTGTCATCTCTTGGATATATTTATCACAGAATGAACCATTCTAGTGATCTTGTGGATCCAATCACAGGAATACACACGAATTCTATAGAGGAACTTTGAGGAAGATCAAAAAATAGGATTAGTGCCATTAATAATAGATCTCAAAAGGATCTCATTTATAGTCATCCGGATGAATATATATATGTACAGAATGGGGTGTAACTTTTCTACTAACACTCCTATGCTAAACTTGGAGATGTTTTTGTCACATGTTAGAGAAAGATACCCTATGTAGCAGTTCATAAATATACGTTTTCCTTCATTGAAAATCCCTCTTTCGTGTGGTTGGCTCGTTCTTTGACGTCGTTCTTTGACTGTTAGTTAGTGGTGCTTAAAGTTTAACTTTTCCAGTTTTAAAGTAAGTCAATAATGCATTAGACTTTATGTAGAAGATTTCAGTTTATTGATTCTGTTAGAGAATTGCTAATAATGATATAATGGTATCACATTTATTTCTCACGACAGGTGTACAAATATGTACACTCGACAGATATACACATCTGTGTATATCTTTTGGTTTCAGTTTAGCCATACAAAAATGTTAATATGTTGTTAATGTGTTTGTTTTACTAATGTCTAGCTGGAATTTATTGGACCATTAGACTCACTCAAAGTGATTATGTCTTAAAATCGATTCTTATGACGTAATCAATGTTAATGATAAGATCATGTTTCTTTATTGTCTCTTCCGTATATATTATTGAATACTAGACAACAGTAACCAAGTATCATTTGTTATCGTTCTTCATTTTTATTTTGCAATATGGCCACCAACAGACTAGGTGGTTTGTCATCATGGGTGTACTTTGAATTGTTGTCACAGTATGTGTATTATGTTTGTGTTTTGATTGTCTAAACTACAATTCTTCATCTTGAATTTAATCATTTTCTATATGAGATACGTTACCGTGAATGATAATCAGTATGTGGGGTGGTTCTAGACCCTGTGTGTCTACTTTATTTCATATCTTACTACTGTTTGTATAGAATGTATAGATAGAATATACGGATATAAAAGGTTCGTGTGGCATTTGTCAACCTGCATCATCTTTGGGGTAGATGTGATATTCGACTGACTATCTATCAAAGAACGTATGCACTGCTCCATCCTCGCTCCGCCCTGTTTTATGACTGTGAGTGAGACATGCCCATTGAAGGTGGAAGACATGAAAAGCCTGGCTAGCTGTCTTTAACCATAGTTGTCTGCGTTCTCTCTTCAATGTTAAATGGTATAATAGGATGAGTAGTTTTGAGCTTAGGCACCAGTTGAGTGTTAGGTAAGTAGGGAAAGTCTATCGAAGACAACTAATGACATGGCTTAAAATCATTGTAAGTGGCGCAAATGCATTCACTATCTGTGATATCATATCTTTCTTCTTGACATTACTACCTATTATAGTTCTTCCGAATCTCAGTTTTTCTCCTGTTAGCTTCCTTTGTGGGCTAAATGGAGTGTGGCGAGTTGAACTAGTGCACATCTATGCAAATTTCTACATTGGAATCAGTCAGTTATACTGATTTATTTTAGCTCCAATGAATCCCATGTAAAGGTGATTTAATGTAGCACATTCGTAACTTAGATAAATAGTTAACTCACCTTATCCGGAATGAATTTCTCATGTGTCAGGCTGGGAACCATATATGCTATGCGGTAACTGATGGTAGTAACCAGTTGCTGCGATTCTGAAGTACACGCAGCAGAATATAAACCTCATGACCTATTGCTTAAAAGTCTACTGCTTAAGCCAATGTATCTACAACCTCTAATAAAGCAATGCCTCTCACACCCCCCTCGAAGATTCACATCTGCATTGAGTTCATATATCACATAATTTGCGAGTAGAATTTACTTTCATTAGACACTAGTAACTAGTGTATGATGTGTCTAGTCCCTTGTTTGGTGCGGACCGAATTCTGTCAATCAGATATGCGATGTGGCCAATATTCTAGGTAGCTCGCCATCACGGTGGACATTGAATTATTGTTGATGTTAGACGGTTGGAGGCAATCGACAGGATGTTTTAGATATAAGAGAGAAGATTTGTAGCTCAGGTGGATGATTCAATTTGAAGTATGCGCTGAAGATGTCACCCAGTAGGGTGATGAAAGCTTCGCAAACTAACCATCCAGCTCAGAGAACAAAACCACATCAAAGACAGGATGTTTTGTTTGACTTGGATTTCGTGCTAGTTAGCACTCACCAGTCAGTCAGGGCAAGGCGTATCTGCAACTACCTTGAAAGAACGTATGAGATTCGCGCCTGCGTCACTAGCCAGTGCTGCAGTCACAGACGTTTCTGTCACTGAGCTATTCGGGCTCGCGATTGTATATAGAATGATGCTAATATATTCAAGAGTCTTGGCGTTTTTTTTAAATTTACGTGCACTATGCCATTTTTGTTGTTGTCGTTATTCTTATTCTTCTTCCTTATTCAACCTACAATTAATCACACTTTATCCCTTAATCTTTTAGGTAGATCATTTTGATTATGATACTAATCAGCATTTGGAATCATTTGGCTGTCAAATTAAAGTATTTAAAATGAAAGGAGCTGATCGTAAGCATAGAACTGATCGAGAGAGAATTGGACGTAAATCGAATGATGATCAAGTAAGCATTTTAGCAGCTTACCCTTTTTTGATGTTGTCATAATCTTTATTGAAATTAACTAGAGATTCACAAGATGGTTGATATTGATTGACGAACTCCGGTTTCAGAATCACGACCTTAAGAGTGAGTGTACGCCATCACCTACCCAGTTTATCGTAATGTCATAGGTGATTTTCAAATTCACAATTTGAAAATTGGCTAGCAATTTGCAATTTACACAGTTCGAGTAGTGAAATTTCACTGTAGTTTCTTTTAGAAAAGCCAACTTATTCAGATCACAGTTTATGTGATCTGCTTAATGGCGAAAATGGTAATTCAGAAAAGCAAACATTTTCGCACAAAACTATATACTACTGATTCATTGAAATGAGTAGTTTGTAGAATTGCTTCTACGAAAATGTGTTCAAGTCCTCTGGAGATATGTGTTAACACCTTCAAATTCCTGAAAACTAGCTGATATTAGTATATACTCCTTCGTTACCCTAACTATAAAAAGATCATTTGTGCCTCTGTTTTAAGTACCAGTTGTTCACAATTATGTCCTTTACTTAAACTATAATCATGATGTCATTTAATTGTCTCTATTACTATCGAATTTTCCATTAATACTATCCGGACTTACTATTAGTAATATTATCTTTCTTCCCATTATATATGCCGCCACCTATTTCATTTCCCACATTCGCTATTTCATGATGAACCTCTCATTGCAGTCTTACTATCTCCTCCTCTTTAATACATACCACTTTGTACTAGCCATTCCCTCACCTGACACATTTTATTACCTTGAAGTGACTTGTCAATTTTCCCAACCGCACACTCTTCAAATCTATAATGACTAATCACCATCATTGTCTCCAATTTTACAATATTTTGCAATCGATTTCAGCCTAGCATGAAGTTTGTCATTACACAAATACTACTATTTATTTTGATACTTCCGAATTACTAATCTGCTATTTCTACGTTAAAAAATGTGTGCGCCGCATAACTGGCATTCATTATTGTAACGACAACAAATATTATAGTTTATAGTTATAAGAACCTGAAGAGGAGAAATTATTGAAACGAATATTCTTCTTTCAGATTGACTTTTAATTCATGATGTTATTTGATGTGGTTGTTGACCAGGAGTGGAATTCAAAAATGTGACGTATTGACTTAAAATACTCGACTTTCGGTAGATGGGACCCGGAGATTCAAGTCCTACTTTACCTACTTCAACTTGGGCAACTGGGTAGTACTGTAACGGCGAGAAGACAACATTCGTGACATCGTCGTATTTGGGACTCATCAACTGGCTGCTCCTGCGATCCCCAGTGAGTGTTAGTGTGTTTCTGCGAAGACCTCAACACAGCACTCGTGACTCAAGTTCAGCCATGTTATATAATTGTATTATTCCCTTGAGTTCCGCTTGGAACTTAGGGATAGAACAGCACATCTCCACTTTTTGTCCCTGTTTTTTGCGAATCTCTTAGGGTGGGCCCATGATTGCTTATAGTCTTTCAACTTCTCCCATGTTCTCCTCCGTATCACCCTAGACAGGATAACCCACTTGTCTTTTCCTGTTGGGATTCCACTCGACTGACGGCATAGCACGTGATGTCATTCGACGGCCTTTTCAGCATATACCCAATCCATCTCCACTTCATCCAACGTTTTTGCTTGGTATGTTTGTTCCCATAGTTTCTTGTTGCTAATCATTTCTGGTTGGCCATCTGATCTTTAACATAGAGCGAAGGCAGCTGTTGATAAAAGTGTGCAAATGACTGTTGGAAATGCTTTCCATGATGTGCACGCCAAGTTTCTGATCCATACAGAAGAATTGACTGACTTAACATTTGTATTGCAAATCCGAATTTTCTTGTTTATGGTGAGTTGAGGGGATTTTCAAACCGATTTCACACTCCTGAAGGTGTATCTTGCCTTTCTGATTCTGGCTGGCTGGCTGGCTTTTGACATCTTTATCCATTCCTCCAGCTCCTGTTGAAACGATGCTTCCCAGATAAGTGAAGGAAGTAACCTCTGTTAAATCTCTTACGTTGATGGTGCTTGAGGCTGGTTGTTGTTGTTGTCGTTGCTTTTGTCGGTTGGTTGTATTCATCACCCCCTGTCTTCTCCACGTTCACCTGGAGTCCTGTCCTGTTCTTTGCCCGCTTCTTCAGTCAGTTTAAAGCAATTAGTTCCTTTTTCATGAATTTCGACAACACAATAAGAAGACGTAGTTTATCTTCTTATTGTGTTGTCGAAATTCAGTCAGTTTGTTGGTTTTTTTTTACTTTACTTGGAAGTCTTCGAATTCATTTAACAACAGGCATAAATCATCCGCCTCGAAATCCAGATCTTCTAGAGTCTTCTTATCGGTCCATCGTATTCTTGTCTTCTCACTACCCTCTTATGTTGTTCCTCATAATCCATTCCACTACCGTATAGCATTATTTTTTTATTTTTGATTACAACTTGATTCCACACTGTATTTTCGGTACAAGTATGGAATTTTCAGCATGGATATCGGTAGCCCAAATTTTGCAAGTCGACCATAGATATCAGGCGTGCGTCGTCAGGGGATCGAACCTCGGACCATGTGCATGGTCGGCGACAGTCCTAACCGCTATGCCACCTTAGATATTGTCAAAGCGTCGAAGCCGAGGCTGAACTTTTCTCTTTCTCTATTATTATCAATATAAGCGGGAAATGATAAGAACCAAAACAACTTTGACATACAATAATTCAAATTTAATTGCTAGATGGTGACTAGCAGTTGAATCCAGGATAACGCTCATTTCATCCTATTTGGGACTCGTCGGCCAGTGGATGTAGTTGCATTCCTCAGTGAGTGAGTGATACTGTTCCCACCGAGGCTCGAACCCAGTATCCATAGTTTTAAACGTCAAAGCGTTATCCACGGACATGTTAACCTGAGACCGAGCACTTCGGTCCAATCAATTGACGGGAAAATCTAAAATTCAATTAAATAATTAATATGACCAGTTGCACAAGAGGTGGCTGTCTTGGCCAAAGCAGTTTAGTGGATAACGCTTTGGCATTTAAAACTACTGGCACTTGGTTCGAGCCTCGATGGGAACATCATCACCCACTCACAGGGGAATGCAGCTACATCCACTGGCTGACGAGTCCCAAACAGGACGAAATGCGCGTTGTCCTGGATTCCAGTGTCAGTCACCATCCACCAATTAACCTCTTATTAAATGTCCAGACATCGTCGAAGCATCTGCACAAGAAGCCGACAGGCATGTCACCCTGAGACCGAGCACACTTTGGTCCAATCAATTGACAGGGAAATCTAAAATTCAATTAAATACAATAATTCAATTAAGATTCTGTACATTAAAAAAATAATAACAATAATGTATCAAATTTTCCTTTTTTCTATTAAATTTTTCAGACAATTTATAAACCTTCAGTGCCTGTTACAAAATTGTCATTTTTGCCGACAAAACAAGTGAAACTCTATCATCCTAATCATTATCCGTGTCGATCGATTTCTGATAAAGAATTACACTGTAATTCTTCTTCGCTAACAGATAAATTAACCGATAAAGTATTGAATAGCTCACTTACCACATTGACAACAACTTCAAATTGTTCAGCAAAACTATTTAAAGCAGATATAAATGATTTAGTGATAGAGAAGTAAGTTTACAAATTTTCTATTAGAAGTTTTTTTTTTCAATGTTAATCTCGTCGGGTTGATAGTCTTTCATGTTCACTGTGTTTCTTCATGTCTATTTTGATTATTTCATCATAAACTGCGTACACTAATCAAGGTACTCTATTCAAACTCACGCAGTCTTGTAATGGCTTATGGGGTATTGTCATCTGAATTGATAACAACCAGTGGTGTCCGACAGGGATGTCCACTTTCCCCATTCCTGTTTAACTTTATCGTAGATATGCTAATGGAAGTATCCGTAACTGAACGTAACGACTGAGGAATCGACTTGTTACCGGGGAATAGTCTTATGGACTTAGAATTTGCAGATGACATAGTCCTGTTAGGGGAGGATGATGACAAAATGCAGAGTCTTCTGAACACCTTGAGCAGCAATCGTCGTATGTTTGGCATGCGATTCGCCCCTGTGAAATGTAAGATGCTGCTACAGGACTGGACCACGTCAACTCCTAACTTAGTGATAGGGAGTGAAGTGATAGAACATGTTGACCACTTCACCTATTTGAGAAGTTGTATTAGCACCAATGGACTGATTGGCGACGAAATCTCAGCACGGATCCGAAAAGCTCGAGCTGCTTTCGCTGACTTACACCATCTCTGGCGTAGGCGTGACATCCGGTTATCAACCAAGGGACGTGTGTACTGCTCATCAGTTCGCTCCGTCCTTCTCTATGGCTCTGAAACATGGCCAATACGAGTTGAAGACATGAAAAGGTTGACTGCTTTCGATCATAGATGTCTGCGATCTCTGTCTCACGTTAAGTGGTTTAATAAGGTAAGTAATGTTGACGTTAGGCGTAGAGTGTTAGACAAAGAGGGAAAATCAATCGACGAGGCTATAAAGTTACATAGACTGAGATGGCTAGGTCACGTGGTGCGCATGCCTAACCATCGCCTCCCCCGACGGGCATTGTTAGCTGATATAGGTGCAGGTTGGAAAAGAGCCAGTGGTGGCCAAACAAAAACATGGCCTCATCAATCCATGAAATCCTCGACAGTTAAACTGAGTCAGGTAGGTAGATGTAGACGTCCGGATTGGGGCCCTCGGGACTCTAGGAATCAATGGCTGCAGCCAATAGGTGACATGGCTGAAAATTGTTGTCAATGGCCAGCGCAGATGTATTCAGTCTCTGTAATCTTTCATATTCCTTTCTACCATTACCCATTCTGTTTCACTCTTATACTTGTCAGACTGTATTGATTCTCTTCACTCATCTTCTTGTCTACCTCTGTGTGCTATTTGGAACGTGGCAACTGGAACTGCTGCACTTTGGTGCCAAGAGGGGCTGTATACAAAAATGAGGGACAGTATTAAGGAAACAAGTAAGGATATTTATTAAGAGCATTCAGAGAATGGTTCATTGCATTATGTTATATGCAGATGGAGCTACTGATTCAAACTATCTCTCGCATCTCATCTAGGGAATTATGATGCATCGAATAAATGCTAACCTGATGCAATTAACCTCCATCCTTGCTCCTTATCCAACTAGTTCTAGGGTTAGGGGACCATAAATGTTATATGTGTCGCTGGGATGACATTCTAAGCCAATAGAGCTGGGTTTTCCAAGATGAAGTCATTTGAAATAATAATGGAGAAGATTTGTAGCACAGGTGTTCTTTGGGGAACTGGTTGATTTAATTGCAAAGCTTACGTTGTCTCCGTTCTAGACAATATCTTCAGCGCCAGTTTTTAGTAAGAAATGAATTTATTTGAGTTGTCCATGAATGATGATATAACTGTATCCCCTGAGAGCCACTGTTATGATTAGTTGTCGATTAGCACTGATCACTTTTTGATTGGATACTAGTAACTAGTGTGACGTGTCAAGTCCTTTCTTTGGTGCGGACTGAATTCTACAGTCAGGTTTTGCGATGTGGCCAACATTCTAGGTAGCCCACCATCACAGTACACATTGATTTGATGATATTAGATAGTTGGGGGCAATCGACAGGATGTGTTGATTGACCTAGGTTTCGTGCTAGTAGTTGGCACTCATCAGTACTCCTGCTGATTGCCTTCAACCATCTAATACCAACATGTCACAGTGCACCGTAATGGCGTGCCACCTAGCATGGTGGCCGCATTGCAAGCCTGACTGATAGAATTCAGTCTGTACCAAAGAAAGGACTAGACATGTCACACTGGTTATTAGTGTACAATCGAAAGTATCCACTACAGTCCTACAGGAGGTCAATCACGAGCCCGAATAGCCTGGCTCAGTGGTAACGTGTCTGACTGCAGTACTCACTGGGTGACGTGGGTTCGAATCTCCTCAGAAATAGCATGAGTTCCTTCAAGGTTGCAGGTACGCCTCGCTGATGAGTGTCAACTAGCACGAAACCTAGGTCAAGCAAGGCTTCCTGCCGATTGCCTCCAACTATCTACAATCACTGATCACTTTTATTGACCTGAAATTTGAATTTTGTTTTCACGTGATTTATTCCTTATTAGTTGGTAAATTGTTAATTGCTAATTCATTTGAGTACCAGGCTTCTAGAAATTCCCTGACTGTATTTTTGCTGTCTCATCTATTTGAACTTTGTTCATTCTCCCAATAATCAAATTTGGTAATCGTCTACATGCACTAGTGTGAAAGAATACGATATGTCGTGTCTTTTTACGTCTAACACGTGTTCTTCTATTCAGATTCGAAAGGGATGCCCATTTCGACCGATGTAATGTGTTTATCATTGTTCATACAATTTATTTTGTAAATGGTATTATTTCTATCTTGTTTGGCTGTTGGATGTTTCGGTTTGCTTAGTATCGAATGTTGTGTTAGCTTATGTGCTATATCTATTTCAAACGACGGTCTTAATATTCTAGCTGTTATTTCAGTGAATTTTCTTGTGGTATATTTGATGATGAATTCTTGTTGGTGTTACGACCTGAGTTTAAACACTTTTTTTGGTGAGATTGTATGGTTGGGTATTCATTAGTGAGTATTTTTCTCCCATTCTCTCTTCAGTATTGGAGTGTTACAGTGTGTTTGAACTGCTTTAAACAATGTGTGCTTACAGCTGGTTTTGTGAGTGGATCGGGTTATTGCTGTCCTATAAGAATAGAACTTGTACGCTGTGGTAGAGTATAATTCCATTGTGGATAAAATTTATTTTGATAAAGTCTCCTGGTGTTATACAGTAATATAGCCTTGGAAGCAGTTAAGAGAGGGGAACCAACTGCTGATACTCAGCTTACTCATAAGACAAAGGTACCCATTGAGGAAGTCATTTTAAGAATCAGAAAATGCCTCAAGTCTACCATTTTTAAATTCCAGGTCAAATATATAAACAAACAGATGGTGTAGGATTAGGATCATCAGTATCCTCAGTCGTATCAGATATATTTATGGATAGCTGAGAAAATACTGATCTTAATACATTTCATCTTAATCGAAAGATATGCTGGAGATATGTGGATGACACTTTCACAGTGTTAAAAACAGAACATACCTCCAGTTTCTTCACACATATAAACTCATTAGTGGAGGGAATAAAATTCACATTTGAATCGGAAAATGAACAAGGAGAATTAACTGTGGTGTTAGATTGTAAAACGAAACGGACACAAGAAGGTGAACTGCACACCTAGCGTTTATAAAAAGCCTGCGCATTCTGCTAATATATATTTAGACTTTAATTCATCTCATCCGTTAACTGTTAAGGCAGGCTTAGTTAGGTGTTTAACAAACCGAGCAATTGCACTAAGTAGCACAAAAAAGACCTAATTGATGAAATAAAACAGATAGAAGAGGCGTTGTTGTTAAATAACTATCCTTTAAAGTTCATTAGGAAGATCAGTAAAGGCCAAAAGAAAAAGAAAAATAATTGTGAAACTAGTAATAATAACATAAATAAAGTATATGTGGCATCTACAGTAGTTTTATCATATAAGGAGGGGATATCTGCGACCCTACGTAGGATTCTCAAAAAAGCAGGAATTATATAGCGGCATTCAAACGTGCAAACTCACTCAGGTAGGAGAAGCTCTGTAAACTAAAAGGATGCTGTTGGTTGACCCAGCTAGACAAAATAATATACTTTACAAAATACCTTGCAATGACTGTGAGTTAGGTCAACTGCATAGGTCAAACTAACAGATCGGGGTAGTCAAATTGTCGGAACATAAGAATTAAGCTAAATGTGAAAGGATTGACTCCGCAAAGATATTTAATTGGGAAAAAACTCCATTGAGATGTAAACTTTTTAGTACATGTTCAGAGCATTGAAGACATGGCCTTCTCTAAGTTCTCCCAAAATAACTGCTGCCACAAATACATCTAAACTTGTATACACAATCAGATTTAACATAGAAAGGGTATCTATAAACGTTTGATTGCACTATAGGGTATGTTGTTCAATAAATGGGAACCAACTTTGCCGCAGGATAAGTTCCGGTTAGTTAGTTTTTATAAGATGGTGAAATTTAAAGATGCAATATAAACAATTATTTGTGTATCACCGAACACTTATCAGCATGATTTTACAAAGAAGAAAGTCAATGTCCCCTTTCACTCACTATCTTAGTACATCTGATAGATTCCAGACACCAAGCTACAGCCCTCAAACAAACTTCAAAGTCGTCTGTGAAATACGAAGCAGTCTTTCTAAAAGTGTACGAGTCAGACTTCTTCAAACTGCAGAAGCAATGGCAATTCACTTGTTAATTCCTCAACTCTGCATACAGAAGAAGTTCGTTCAGCCACTACACTTGCGAAGGATATAATCTATCTGATTACCCGATGGGTAAATTCTATTCCTTTCTGTTTCTTCATTAGTATTATTTTGTCTTTTCAATTGTAATATTTTAGATTTTTAACTTGAAACACTTTAGTCAATTATTTTACGTATTGCTTTTGTAGGGATTTTGTTTGATTGGATGGAGGGTTCCATCATGAGCTGATATCAGTTAGAGAACCACTGGAAAACCTGGGATTACTGGACAGCTGTTTCGTCCCAGTTTAGGACTCTTCATCGGTACGTACCTACCGGGGTTCGAACCCAGGATCTTCTGTTTACAAGGCGAGCTCGTAGACCATTGAGCCACTGGGTCCCGATCCAATTGCCCATCAATTCTTACTTCTGCCAATTCACGACATAGCGTGACCATTTCGCAATATCTTCTTCGAAGAGTTACTGCGTCATCGTCAACCTGCTGTTGTACCCTACTGGTCATGGCTTCCCAATAGAACCCCAGGTAACTGTCTGAATAGGGCCAGTCGCTAGTGAGCATCAGATTAATTTCCAAGTATTGGTTTTTTAGGGATTTTGTTTGATTAGATGGAGGATTTCATCATGAGCTGACATGACTTAGAGAACCAAGTCATCTAACTTACTAACTCGATCTTACTTTATTTGCTGTCTAATTAACCTTGTTTCTATATTAAATCGTTCTTGTATTACCTATCTAAACTTGACATACCTCATGTACACACATACACACACAAAAATAATTGTATATTTAATGCGGTTGTACAGCTATGTGAATGAATTCGCCGAAAAGATTCTCTTCGCTGAACGTCTTCTCTTTTTCATATGACTCAAAGGGGCGGGGTTTCAAGCTAACTATCTGTGCATCAGTTTTCCTGCAGTCTCTTCTTCTGTTCATACCATTTTTGACAATTTTTCGCTTTCTTTTCTTTCTTTCTAATGCTTATAGTTCAATGTCAAAGAAACTGTTTATAAAGGACAGTTTTTCACTGAAAGATGTTGACAATGCAACTGACAATTTCGCCACATTACCCGATTCCATAGAAACACCAACATCAAACATTCAAACATTCTCTGAATTTGTTACACCAACATATCCTTATCAACAGGCTACAGCCTATTCAACACTACGTAATTTATCTCCTGGTATGTCACCATCTCCATCGTCCAATAGACAATCAACTGGGCCTATACAACCTTGTCTCCAGAGACGTAGACGTCCACGAGTAAGCGATTGTTGTGTTGGAGCTTGTTCATCTTGTGGACGTAGTTGTCGTAGTGCTTCACGATGGGTACGAAGTAATAAGAATAGAATAATGTCTGCAAACTGGGACAATACTGTAAATCGGGTGAAACAAGCAACGCTTATTTCTGAACGACGAAGAGCTGTACATGGTTGTGAGGCTAGTGGTCATTTGCCTGAAACACAAAAGGTATGATTTTTGTTTTGCTTTAACGTGATAGTGAGTAGATTCATAAATTTAACTGATTACACATACTTCATACACCTAAAATTTGGATCGTTCCTTGAACTGTTTAGCGAAATGACATACTGATTCAATTTTATTCTGTCTAGAAGTCGTATACTATATATTCAGCCTGTTGTGCGGTTCATTCGCTCACTGATAGGGATCACAGTTTAATAAATTAGTCACCGGAGAAGCCATCCTTGACCCTGACTGGACAAGGATGGCCTCTCCGGCGATTTGTGCGTTGGTGGCACAGTGGTTAGGACTCTCGTCGACCATGCCCACATGGTCCGAGGTTCGATCCCCTGCCGACGCACACCTGATATCTATGGTCGACCTGCAAAATGTGGGCTACCGATATCACATGCTGAAAATTCCATACTTGTACCGAAAATACGGTGTGGAATCAAGCTGTAATAAAAAAATAAATGTTATAGTCTATTCGAACTTTTGTTAATATGGTAAAGTGTAAAGTAACACTGCTTACCTGTGATGTCATTGTGTGGCGTGTACTACTGGCAAGATTCATCTCTAGTGAATATATAGAGATGATCATCAGCACAAAGATGTCAAATAGCGGAGGGATAGATTTAACGTCAAAGAGAGCTAATGGACCAGTGCTGCGGAAGAACATGAAAGACACGAAAAGAAGACAAAAAAGACAATACGAAGGAACGGCAGAAGTAGTGCACAACACGAAAGATCTGTGCATGTGATAATTTTCCTTTGTGGAGATATCAAATTGCAAATAAACATTCCGTTACCAAAGTTCCCAGAAGTTGATGATGTCCGTAGTGGTGTTTCCACTGCCACTGCCACCGCCAACCCTCTCGACCGATAGTTGATACCTTGGCATGGTGGTCGGGCGTGTATATCACGATTACCCAACAAGTTACGTTGACTTTAGGTCCTACTATGCTAGAAAGGTTGTTTGAACGGCGGGTCTGTGGACGGAGTCGTACTGTTAAAAGAAATAGGGACTTTACAATAAGAAGATGTTTCTCTCAGGTAACCACTATGCAAGGTATGCTTCGTTTCTGTTCTGAAGAGATAGGTGGTTAGAAAACGTCTACCTGAAAACTGTACATCCCGACTTGTTTCGCAGCTGTCCGCAGCTGGCAGTCAGAGGACCTGTTTTCAGATTCAACTGTAAAAACCACTTCTCACACATGTCGTGTGTCGCCGATCTCAATCACTTGTCCATTAGGCTCTGCGGTTATGCAGCAATAAAACACATTCTGTTCCAGTTGCCCTAAGATGAAGTCAGCTTCCACGCTGTGGACAGCTGAGAAGTAATAACCGTCCACATACTCCCATAGGTACATAAAGCTTTGAAGGCATTAACCTCATCATCGATGCGTCCGTACTAGGAGGGTGACATGTCAACACGAACTGGGCTTGTCGGTCCGATAGAATCAATCAAAAATTGGAAGTACAAAATAGCTTGAATATATCTCTCAAACATTCATCTTTCCAAAAATTTGCGTAAAAATTTATACTACTGATTAACGGAGATGAGTAGTCGTATACCACTCAAACCAATCAAGCAGTAGTTCTTTGCTATATAGCCAAATCGAGATGATCTGAACACCGGAGGTCTGTTTCGCTCGTTTGGGACAGGCTTCATCCGAGCATAATGAAAACCCTGTGACCTACTGCTTCCGAAGAAAGGGACATAAGGAGCTACTTGTGAGACTTTGAGGCCGTTGCAATTCCCTCAGAGTCTCACAAGAAGCTCCGTATGTTCTCGAAAGCAGCGATATCAACTGTAACAGGAGAAGAAAAGAGACTTGGTAACGGACTATTCCATACAGGAAAGACGCATCATATGAATACATGTTTAACCACATTAAAAGTCGTGTAGGTCAGCGGGACAGTTTTGGTTAATTGATTGATGATTGTCTTAAGGTCGTTAAATGTGTTTCGCTTTTTTTCATTTGATTCTGGTTATATTATTAGGCGTTTTTTCTTCTATCGGAATATTTTTATTCATTTTCTTCTTTTCCTTCCTCCCTCTTTATATAGTCGAAAGTAATTCATGTGAAAATTCCTTTTCATTCAACTAATTCAAAAGTCGCAGTGAATACTTCAAAAGTAGTCTGCAATCTAAGTACATCTGGTGAATCGTCTAGTCTAGGCAATGAAGAATTCAGTAAATGGACATTTGTCGATAAATTTGATGATAAGTCTAGTTCACCATCGATTATTGTATCAGATTACCCCATAAATTCAATTCAAAGAGATCGAGATCCTCTGTTAGGCATGTCTAGTGCTACACCGGCTAGTTGTGATACTACTACAGGCTATTGTAGTAATGAGATACATGCGTCTTCAGATGAAACATCGTTAACTGATAGAGTATTAGACGAGATTAGATATTGTCCTGAGGATAATGATAATGATAGTCCTGTTGTGAATGATAATGCTGTTGATGCAGATAATGATGATAGCGCTGATGCTGAGGCTGCTTCGACAACAGGTGCTGGTGGTACGAATGCCGCTGCTGTTGCTCTTGCTAGTGGTGACAATGAATCATTGAGATATGCAAAATTATGCTTGAATAAATCAAATTCTCTGCTTGATCATGCAGATACATCACATCGTGGATCGACGATTATCTCCTTGACATCAAGTAGTCATCATCATAATCATCAACAACGACAAGAAGGAGAAGAAGAAGAAGAAGTGAGGAAAACATCAACAGCTGGTATGCTGAATGAATCATCTTCATCGGGATTATGTTCAACAGATAATACGATCAGTTGTAGAAGTAGTAGTAGCAATACTAATAATAGTAATAGTTATACACTGTCAGTAGTACACTGTGATATGACTGCGTTACAAATTACCGATTGGCTGTGTCAGTCAAACTTTGAGAATCTTGTGGAAACATTTAAAAATTTCACAGGTATGATCTTAATTTGGTATTATTTTCGTGTGTTTACTTTTCATTGATTGATTGTTTTGGTTCTACTTCTGAGTGTTTCTTTATGTTTGACGCTACCGTATTATTATTTTTTATCCTTCACGTTCCCAGTGGAACATAGGGCTCCAAGCCAGAGACTTGAAGTTTCTGTAGCAGTGTTTATTTAAGAGGATGGGGGTTGCTAGCCTCATGCTTAACCTTTCTTCTTTACCAGCATTATTTCTAGCTTAGCGAGGTAAAGGAGTGCGTCGGTGGCCGGGGATCGAACCCTGGACCATGTGCATGGTCGGCGAGCCTCCTAACCGCTGTGCCACCGACGCATCTACCGTATTATACGGACTCTTATTTCATATGCTTGAACACTACAGAGTGTCCTAAGTCTTTATCAACCACTTCATTCCAGAAGCCAACTATCGAGAGATCCACAACAAAAATCTGACCAAAAAGCCCTTGAAGTGAAGACAAGAGTTAGATAGAGCTGTCGAACTACTATTCCTGTAACGAGAGAAGATAAGGGCCAGGCAACGGATTGTTTATTGAGGAAATAAAGAAAGATATTTATATATATTGTTATGTACATTATTATTCGTTATTATTATCTTCAAAGAAGCATCGTCTTCTGATTGGTTGTTTTCTCGCTGAAAGTTATTCTGTCATCTCTTTGGTGGCCATTTCTTTGAAGGTCAGACCATATGTCTGCAAATCGTATCCGCCCACGCAAAGTCTGCTCTGATTGGTTGTTGAGTTGGTCTTTGTTCTTGTTTTTTTCTTCTCATGATCAAGATTTGGGAAGTAAACATTGACGTGAACTGGTGTTTACCAGTTTTGGCCAGCAGACAGCTCTCACCATATTCCTAATTATGGTAGACTGGATTATATGTGGAACACCGTATCGTTGGAAGAGAAAAGACTGGAGTATACGCTGAACCGATAAAAAAAACTCAAGAACTCATGGACTTTGTGGACGATTTCTGTTTAATGTCACATAAACTTGAACACCTATAGGCAGAAGAGTTAGGTAGTGAAAACAGGACTTCTAGAGTACACTAAAGAAGACAGAGGTAGGTGATGAAGATAAGTAGTCAGTCACAGCAAGCAACCAGTCAATGGAATGGATTTTGAAGAGGTCACTTTCCTCAGTTATCTGGGAATTTCGTTTTATTCCTTTATGTTCCCAGTGGAATATAGGGCCACTTCAAGCTAGAGGCTTGGAGTTTCTGTAGCAATGGTGATTATTTTTACGGGATGAAGTTGGTAGCCCTCATGCCCTCTTTACCAGCCATACTACTGGTTTAGCGAGGTAAAGGAGTGCACCGACCGCTCCATCCTTTTTTTATAGCTGTGAGACCTGGCCATTGAGAATGGAAGACGCAAAAATCCAGACTAGCTGTCATTGAGCATAGGTGCCTGCGTTCTATCTCCCGTGTGAAGTGGTAAAATATGATGAGCAATATTGAGGTTAGGCATCGGTCGAGTGCTAGGTAAAGAGGGAAAATCAGTAGACGAGGTTGTGAAGTTACATCGACAGAGATTGTTAAGAAATGTGTTACTTATGCCTAGTCATCGCCTTCCTCGACGAGCAATGTTAGCGGATATAGGGTCAGGCTGGAAAAAAGCTAGTGGAGGTCAATCCAAAACATGGCACCAGTCAGTGAGATCCACAACAGTTAGTTTAAGCCAGCCACGTAGGTAGGTGTGGACCGTTCTGACTGGTTGGGGTCCTCGGGTCGGTGAAAACCGATGGCTGGAGACAACTGGTGATATAACTCAAAATCGTCCTCAATGTCTGGCTCAGATGCATCCACTCCTTGTGACTTATAATTTCTAATGAAACTATATCGTTCTGTGTTATTACTATTCCTTTGTCTCACACCTCTGTTTAATGTCTCTATTATGCGTGGAGTGGAATATGGTGACTTGAACTGCTACACATCGGTGCAAAGTTCTATTTCGAAAACAAACAGACAGTGCGTTGGCCAGGTGTGGTGAGAGCAGGCTGCTAGCCGATTGGTTGACACTAAGCTACGTTAATATGGGCCGTGAGAAAATATGAACAAGGCTGAGTCAACAACCAATCACAGCAAAGTTAACGTGGCAAAATATGATTCGCAGATAGAGAACTCTATTTGTCAAGAAATCCCGAAACAACCAATCAGAAGCCTGCGTTTGGCTGCCTAACTTCTGATAAACAACCAATCAGATGACTGCGCTTGTCTATAATAATGTATGTGAAATATGTATAAATACGTGTTGATTTTCATAATAAAACGATCTGCTGCCTGGCCCTTGTCTTCTGTTGTTACACAGGGATTGAACCCCGGACCTGGTCGGTGAACAGTCTGCCGCTTTGCCACCAACGCACTGAGTTATCTAGGAAGCACCGTTTCAATTACAAGTGGAGGCACAGATGGGGATTCGACAATCAGGATCAGTAAGGCAAGATAGACTTCCCTCACATTAAAATCAGTTTCATAATCTTCTGCACTCCTAGCGTAAACAACAGAATTCGGATCTTGACCACCGATGTTATAAGTCAGTCATTTCTGTTATATGGGTCAGAAACTTGGCGTGTGTGTCACAAGAATTATCTTCAACAGCCAGTTGCAAAGTTTTATTAACAGCTGCCTTCAGTGGCTCTATGTTGATATTCTGATTACATGCCAGAAAGGATTAGAAAGAAGAAAGTTTCAACGTAGAGATGTGCAGCAGTTCGAGTTGCCACACTTCACGTAGAACATAAAGCAAGAGAAGAGGGTAAAAAGAGGTTTGAAAACAGAGATAACAGACAGGGATATAAAGCAAAAAGAATAGTAATGTTGAAGAACAGTATGGTATTATTGGGTAATATAAGTCACAGGGAGTGAACACATGTGTACCAGACTTTGAGAACGATTTTGAGTCATATTATCAATTATCTCTAGCCATTGATTTTTACTGTCCCGAGGACCCCAACCAGGAAGTCTACATCTCCCTATATAGCTTAAACTAAGTGTTGTGGATTTCATTAACTGACTGGTTTGACTATCACTAGCTAACGCTTTTTGCAACCTGTTACAACCTATGTCAGCTAACATTGTCCGTCGAGAAAGCAACAAGAAACTCTGAGCACGAACCAATCAAGAACCTGTAGCTCAACAAATATGGCGAAGAATGTGGAGATGTATCAGGCATACGTTGAAGAGATCATTGGTGGACATCAGGCGCCTGGCTATCGGTTGAGTGGAACCCGAATCACAAACAAAAAAGTTGGGCGTGGGGCAAGGGTAACATGTTCCACTAGGAGCTTTATGAGACAATAAGAAATAATAATAATAGTAATGAATTCTTCTCAGTAACTCCCAAAAGGACTCTACCTACTGTATTTTGGCTTTTGGAAGATCATTTTACAGTCTGTCGAAAGCCTATTTTTACACCAATAAGTCATATGTATTACATATTTTAGTTGTATATATAGGCATTTTACGTCTTCTGGAAAATCGGTTCAGTTTGCAATTATGTTTTGACGTGCAAACCTCATATCATTTTATTTTTTTATAGTTGTCAATATAACTGACATAAGGAAACTTGACACACGAGGAAACGCTCTAATTCCTCTTACGTAACTAAATACTGAACTTGTCTAAATCAAATGTCAACTCCATAAATAAAGCATTGTTGTTTTTATTCAACTGAATTCTGCGCTGAAGAAGCGTTGGCTTACTCAGGAAATCATTCAGAAAAATCGTGTCTTGAATTTCTAAATTTTTTGATCCAATGTGACTCAATGCCCACTTTACAAAGAAAAATTATAATTATGTCCAAGGATTGACGTTAAATTGTTAGCCGTAGTGATTCATCTGCTGAAGGACTGCATTTCTTGGCCTGTATTGATTTTCCAGATTGCGTTATACTTCAGCCCTTAGTCTGTTGTGGTGGTGTTTTTTGTTGTTGTTGTTGTTGTTATGTAAGCCTATGTTTTGTACTTCTTTAACTCGGTTTTGTTCTTCTTCGATTTCCTTTAGGTCGTGATATGCTTCGTCTAGCCAAAGAAGATTTATTGTCAATATGTGGATCGTTGGAGGGTTTACGGTTGTATAATTCACTCTACAATAAGTAAGTTTATTGACACCTTGAACCATTAAATGTGTTCACATCTCATAGTCTCTGATATATCCTAGTGTGCAATCTTTTTACAATTCACAAAAAATACCCATTCAGACAGAGAGGAGCGTGAGATATGTAGGTCATTCGGTGTGGTTTTTTTGTATCGTAAAATGTCAAAGAGCATTATCCTGCTTCGTTACGGTAAGGTCAATAAGGAGTGCTATAACTGAATATATATATTAAGAACACGGAACGTTTATAGAAGAGTTGATTAGAGTCCTTGGAAGCCTTCAATCAAGGTTCAAGGTTAAGTGAAAGCAGTTCTTCAAATTATTTTTTGAAAAAGTGGGCGAGATAATGGCAATAGGTTTAAATTTAACAGTTGGTCCATTTGACAGTTTACGCACATCAACTGTTTTAATGTCCTTCCATGAAAAGCAGGCACAATGTAACTGCAAAATGATTCATTGAAAATACCAATGAGAGGTTGACATAAAACATCAGCACATTTATTGAGGATAATAGCTGGGTATTCCATCTGAACCAAAGGACTAGGCAGATTTCAAGGATTTGAAACACTTGAGAACGTCATTTGTTTTGCAACCTGGGAAACGCTCATTATTTGCACTTGTAGCATTTGAGATCAAAAGATCAGTTGGACAACATATGAATGACTTATTAAGAGTACCAGTATCAACTGCAGAAGGATCGTTATTGATTTGTTTACCTACCCCCGTCCCCCTCACCCAGTGAATTCCTTAAACAGCTTCCGCATATTTGATGAGGTTTTTCATGATGATAAGAGCTTTTGGTTATAGGTCGTATTTAATCTCTCTCTCTCGCTGTATTTCTAATTCAATTAAAATGTTCAATCTCTCAACACCAGAATTGTCTTTGGTTCTGTATAAACTTTCTTTTTCCATATTAGTTTGTTTATTAGTGAAACAGTATTATTATTTACTGGATGACACAGTTTTGAACAAAATTTATTGTTCATAATCATATTTGTCAATTATGAACACACGACTTCGAAACTTGAGTTTTATAGTCTTCATGCAATTACACACAACCATACAATAGGATGGGGGTGGGGTAGGATGACTGTTTTAAAATCTTATGTCACAGGGTGGAGGGAGGGAGAGATTGATAACAGAAGCTTTGTTTATCGAATCAAGTGAAACTACGTGTAATAGGAATGACTCAACACCTGTTCACTCAGATATCTGGGAAATTCTACTACCCCAACGATGACAAATAGGAGAGAACAAAGAAAACTATAAAACTCAAGTTTCAAGGTCGTGTGATCAAAATTGATATGCTTATGAACAGTAATCAATTTTGTTCGAAACTTCATCCAGTAATAAATACTGTTTCACTGTGTGATACACCTAATAAACAAACTAATATGGAATTACTTACTTACACATAAATTAACCTTTCTTTTACTCGGCGAAGCTTTTTAAGGGTTGATCACGGATTGATATCAGTTAGAGAGCCTTTGAAAGCCAGGGAGTACTGTAAAGTTGTTTCATTCTAGTTCAGTTATAAGGCAATCTGGCTCGTATGCCATTCAGCCACTGGGACATGAATCAATGGCCCGTGAATTCTAACTTCTGCCAATTCGTGATTTAGTACAACCCCGACCAATGTCGTCGATGGGACATCCATCCTCACAGTTGACTGGATGAACGTTACTGGTCACAACTTCTCGCTAGAACTCCAGGAAATTCCGTCCTGTAGGAAGTCACTAGTAAGCTATCAGCTTAATTTTCAATAGTTGGTTTGTAGGGAATAGTTTTGTAACCGGAAAGTCCTTGGTTCTAACCCCAATGGGTGCGTACTGTTTATGATTCCAAAAGTGGAGTGAAACAGCTGTCCAGTACGCCATGCTTTTTTCAATGGTTCCCTTACTGATTATAATCTGTGATCAACTCATAAAAACAAAACTAATCCTTACAAACCAACTATAGAAGGTTTTTAGGCTGAGAAGAAGATAAGCGGTCAAATCTAACTAAGTCAGTTCTGTTTTCTGATAATGTTCTTAGTGGAGACATCCATGATTATGTATACAAAAGAAGGATGATTCATTATTATTATTATTTTCTTTTTATATTCCGTTTGATAGACCTGCTGTTCCACGATGTACACTGTACATGTGCCTCAAAGGAGAGATAAGTACGTTTTCGTGTCTTACTATTTCTATTACAATTGCTATATATATATATATACTGATCGAAGTCCTACTCTACGCATCATCATATACACTGGCAGTCAAATCTCTGCCTTTACTTCATTCACTTTGTAAAGGCCTTCGATAGCATTGACCGTGAAGTAATTTGGAAACTATCTTAACACTACGGAGTACGCTGCTACAAATCTTTATCAACTTCATTCAAGAGCTATATGTCAAATGATCCACAGCAGAAAACTCTGCGAATTTAATTGATGGGTGGTGACTAGCAGTGGAATCCAGGATAACGTGCATTTCATCCTATTTGGGACTTGTCAGCCAGTGGATGTAGTTGCATCTCGGATTCCACTGCTAGTCACCATCCACCAATTAAAATCTAATTAAATGCCCAGACATCGTCGAAGCATCTGCACAAGAAGCCGACATGTCAACCTGAGACCGACCACTTCGGTACAATCAATTGATGGGATAATCTTAAATTCAAGTAAAATTCAGCGAATTGTTTGAAGTGAAGAGGAGAGTAAAGCAAGACTGCTTATTATCAGAGATGTTATTCTTAATTGTATGGATTGTGTGAAACACCGTGTATGGAGAGTGAGAAGACTCTAGTACCTTCGTCGGATTATAAGACTCTAGAAGATGTGAACTTCGCAGATGATTTATGTTTAATGTCACACAAACTCGAAGGCGTGCAGGTGAAAACTGCTGACAAGTTGTCAGAACAGAGAGACAGACAGTGTAGACTGAATTTCTAGCCAACACACAGAGAGAAGACTGTGGAGGTAATGAATGTAATAACCAGTCAACAACACTGACAACAAGTACTAATCACTACTGTCAAGGGAATAAATTTGAAGCATCCTTTCAACTGTAGGCGACAGCGTGGATAAGGATTTCAAAGCCAGCTAGGAATGCAAAAGACAGCCTTCATCACTCTGAAATCAGTTGGGAAATCGTTTACAATCAGAATTAACTGCGACATTCTGATTGTCAGCACTAATCAGTTCTTTTTTTATGGGTCAGAAACTTGGCTAGCAAATCATTTGAAAAGCATTTCAAACAGCCTCTTCCAGGCTTGTAACAACAGCTGCCTTCACTGGCTGCTCCATATTGAAGATTGAATGGCCAGCTGCAAAGAATCAGGAACCGGCATCTGTGGGAATGGAGCATCCAAGAATCTACCGCTCAACAAATATTCTGAAGAGAATGGAGTTGGATTGGTCACACTCTGATGGGGGAAACCGTCTGTTAACATTGGACACTAGGCTATTATTGCTCGAGTGGAAGGCAAATACAAAACGATGATTTTGGCTGTGGTACAAGGGGGATACGGAGGAGATCGTGATAGGAAGAGACAAAAGCTTATGTTATGGACAATCGCAGGGCTGGCTAAAGGGGAATACAGAAAGTGAGATGAACTGAAGATGTACTGTTGAAGCACTTTGTCCCAGTAGTAACCCAATGGAGTAATAATGATAACTTCATGATAATACTTGGGAGAAGTGTTTAAACAGATCTTATTAGTGGGAATATTATGACAATAATTAAAAGCAGAAGTAACTATACGGTTTGTGGAACATCTGCGCGCGCTTTTCGATTAGCACACTACATTTACTCAGTTGCATAAAACTCTTATCTCTGTGGAGTTTCTTGCCAAGAATTTGTGGAATTTATTGTAATTATTTGCCTTTTGAACACTGAATCTGTGAATATAATCTTGCCACCGACAATTAAGCATCTTGTTCAACAGTTGTACGACAATGCTACATACCAAGTAATCCACAATGGGAAACTTATGGAATCCTTCGAAGTAAAGACGGGAGTAAAACAAGCTGGCTGCCTACTATCTCCAGTGATTAATCTCCTAATTGCGGTAGACTGAATAATGCGACAGACAGCGGGAAGCGAAGACCCACACAAAAAGCTTGGAGGATCTAGACTTCGCCGATGATATATATCTGATTTCCCACAAACTGGAAGACATGCAAGCGAAAAGAAACAAGTTGATAGACGAAGCATCCAGAGACGATAGGCCTTCAGTCGAACATAGAGAAAACAGAGGTGATAAAGACTCCTGGCCAGCAGCGACAGCAACAGCAATATACAACAATCAGCGAGCATAAATGGGAGGAGCCTGATAGCAGCAACCTCCTTTGCCCACCGACTGGGGAAGCATCGTTTCAACTACATGCGGAAGGAACTGAAGAGGATATCAAAGCGGGGATCGGGAAAGCAAGCCAAGCTTTCATTACTCTCAAGTCTGTGTGAAAGTCAACAGCACTTAAACATGAAAATGGAAATAAGATCTGGATTTTCAACGCCAATGTGAAGTCAGTGCTACTTACTATACGGATCAGAGACTTCGCGCGCCATGAAGATCACTTCAAAGAAACTACAGACCTCCGTCGACAGCTGCATTCGCTCAATACTCCTCAAGATCAGATGGCCAGCCAGAAAAGAACAGCAACAGGGATCTCTGGGAGAGAATCGACCCAGCAGGAACCGATTGTGCAACAAATAAGCAGTAAGAAATGGAGTTAGGTGGGTTGGCCATACTCTGAGGAAACCATCGAGTGACATTACTAGACAAGCCCTCGAGTGGAACCCGAACAGGGAGCGGCGAGTCGGTCGTCAGTGTGAGGGTGACTTGAAGGGGGTTACGTGAAGAGGAGATGAAAGCGTGTGGACAGACTTGGGGCCGGGTCAAGACGTTAACAGAGAACCGAACGCAATTTAGACTTGCGGCTGAAGCCCTATGTTCCGCTAGGAATTAAAGGAAATAATAATAATACAATAATTGCGGAACATAACAATATTTAGCTATTACGAAGAATTTTGATGCCATCTCCAGTTAAGTTTTGGGCTCTGAAGTTTCGGTAGCAGTGGTTGGGTCGCTAACCTCATTCTCAACCTTTTCTTTTTTATCCGGCTTACTTCCTACAAAGCAAGGAGGTTTTAGGATTGCCTCGGCGGGGGCTCGAGAACTCGGATGACTTGTAAACTTGGTTAGTGAGTTATTTACCATTTTTAAACACCAACCCATACAAAAGTGATGTCAAAGGGAGGGTTCGAACTCGCGCGCCAAAAGAGAGTCATCTAAGCATGGCTGATTTTAGTTCAATTGACGAATTTATCTCTACTGGTGGTTGTGTTGAATAGTTGGTCCGTGTATGTGTAATACAAATATCCGTGTTTTTGTTTCTCTTTTTGCGGAATATAGTTTATCATGCTGTTATGCTGTATGAAATGACTATGCATGAATTACACAGTCGACTAGCCTCCATCCTGTCTTGTCGTCAAGATCATATCAAGATAATATGCCTTATTGCGGAGAATGATATCCCTGTACTTTTAACCGATGAGGTTAGTTGCTTTTTCAATCAATAACCTTTTATGTCTTTAGTATGATTGTTATGAAAATAAATTGTGCACTTTTCATTGGAATCAGTAGTAATTTAGTTGACTGACCGACTGGTGGAGTCTCAGTCAGCATAGAACTCTTCACCCAAGTGAAACAGTTCGAGTTGACACAATCCTCCATGTAGTACACAAAAGAGGAAACAAAGAGATTCGAAGTAACGATAATAAGTAGAGACGTGAAGGTGTAACAATAGTAATATAGCGAAGCTATAGGAGATCACTAACAGTTAATGTATCTGTGCCAATGATTGACAACGATCTTGAGTCATATCACCATTTGTCTCCAGTCATTAGTGCATAATATCATGAAAAAAGACTCTCAAATAATCAATGTGGTGTAATATTCTGGATGCTACGATGATTCTGAAATCAATACTCTTCACCAGACCTCTCAAAACCTTTACATCAACATCTGGTCTTACACTCTCTGGTCCTAGCATCATCGCAGTTACTTGCACAGTACCAATTGACACCCAAAGATGATATCTGCATCATCCTTTGTGGTATTGTGATGCCAGGCATTTGATGAAAGGCTTGTCTGTGTAAGTAATACGGATACCTGGACTGCAATGAGGTTGGACACAAAAATGATTTTAGTCAGCAATACAGACACAATGGCCATCCTTGACAAGTCGCTTCAGACGCTGTTTTTCATTCAGCATATTTATTTACCAGTAGAAAATTCATCAGTGTTCCTCTTTATCTGCACCCACGACTGCCCATAATCTCTCATCCTCTTCTCCTCAGACGATGTCCTCCATGTCACTCTCGCACCGGACCACCCACTAGTCGTTTGGCATGCGATTCGCTCCCGCCAAATGCAAGATGATGTTACAGGACTGGACTACATCGACGCCTAGTTTAAAAATAGGAAGTGAAGTGGTAGAGCACGTTGACCGCTTCACTTATTTGGGAAGTACCGTCAACCAGTGCCAACGGGCTGATCTCTGACGAAATCTCAGCACGAATACAAAGGGCTCGTTCCGCATTTGTTAGTTTATGCCGACTCTGGCGTAGACGACATGTTCGACTATCGACCAAAGGGCGGGTGTACTGCTCATCAGTCCGCTCCGTCCTCGTTTATGGTTGTGAGACCTGGCCACTGAGAGTGGAAGACATGAAAAGACTAGCTGTCTTTGATCATAGCTGCCTGCGTTCTATTTCCCGTGTAAAGTGGCACAATAAGGTGAGCAACATGGAGGTTAGGCGTAGAGTTCTAGGTAAACAGGGGAAATCAATCGACGAAGTCGTGAAGCTACAAAGACTGAGATGGTTAGGACATGTGTTACGTATGCCAAGCCATCGCCTCCCTCGACGAGCTATGTTAGCGGATATAGGGTCAGGCTGGAAAAAAGTTAGCGGCGGTCAAACAAAAACTTGGCATCAGTCAATGAAATCCACAACAGTTGGTCTAAGCCAGTCATGTAGGAAGGTGTAGACTTCCAGGCTGGTTGGGGTCCTCGGGACGGTAAAAATCTATGGTTGGAAACAATTGGTGACATGGCTCAAAATCGTTCTCAGTGGCTGGTGCAGATGCATCCACTCCTTGTGACTTATGGTTTCCAATGAAACTGTTTTGTTCTTCGTTATTACTCCTCCTTTGTCTCACACCTCTGATCACTGTCTCTTATGCTTTTCTTGTACTTTCTTCTGTTGCTTCGCGTGCTACACGGAATGTGGCGACTTGAACTTCCGCACATTTGTGCAAAGTTCTATGTCGAAAACAGACAGACAGACAGACCCACTAGTCGTCCCTCAATCGGGTCCCACTCAAGGTGCCACCTGGCACTCGATGTCATTCGACAGTCTCCTCAGTGTATGTGTGTGTGTCCAATCCATCTCCATTTCCTCCTACATATTTTTCGAGCAATAAGTTCTCGGTTGATTCGTTCCCAAATTTTCTTTTTGCTAATTCTTTCTGGCTGGCTAGCTGGCCATCTGATCTTCAATATGAAGCCACCGAAAGGAGGGTAGCTGTTGATAAAAGTCTTCAGCTGACTGATAGAAATGCTTTTCGTGACACGCTAGCCATCAAGTTTATGATCCATAGAGAAGAATTGCCCGACTGAGTGACTGATTTAACATTGGTGTTAAACACCTAAATCTTTATGTTTATACTGAGTGCAGGAGATTTCCAAACTGACTTCACAGTGATGAAGAATGTCAATCTTGCCTTTCTAATCACCGTTTTGAAATCGTCCTCCATGGTGTCGCCTGTAGTTGATAGGATGCTTCCTAGATAAGTGAAGGAGGTAACCTCTTCAAAGTTTCTCCTGTCGGTAGTGACTGGTACTATTTGTTGTTGTTGTTGTACACTCGTTGGTTGTATTTATCACCTCTGTTTTCTCAGTGTTGAAATATTCCCTTTACGAATATTAGCGCAAGACATATAAGCGGACAGTAGTGTTGTTTACAATTAGATCTTCAGGCTTTACTCCAATATACATAGCCCGTAGTATTTAACAGATTTAACCAATGATAGTGAGTTTGTATATCGATTAACAATAATAATGTGTTAGGTATTTTGAATGTCAGTAATAACGATGATTATATTGATAGCAAAAAAACAATGGTAGTAATGTTTACGCACACCTCTTGAAATGCTCCCATATGACCGGGCGTCTTACATAGCCTCTCCTGAGGAAGTCCTACTCACTGCCTTCACGTGGCGGAGGTGTTTTTCACCGAAGTGAGAGGGCAAAAGTGGATGCCCGGCGCTCTTCACCGGGTTGACTGTCCATTGGATGACAGTCTAGGGGAGATGGCTAAACCCTGATTCCAAACCTTCAACGACTGGTGTATGAAGCTCACCGGCAGACGTATGGACAAAGGGCTTGTTGGATGTCTGGCCCCATTCAAAAAGGCGTATGAACCGGACTCCGGTCACCGGCTGCCAATGGATAGTGGACTCCCTACTCCACTCCTACTGCCTTGTAGGTCACACTTGGTTGTGTAAAGGCTAGAGCTGCTCTCTCAAATAAAAGGCCGAGTGATGCTGGGGACATCACTCGTACCCAATTCCCATGAAACTTCATGAGTTCATGAAGCCGGCTCATCCTCCCGTTGGAGATAGCCGAAGTAAAGTAAAGTAAGTAAGTTATGCTGGCGGAGACAGGAATAACAAAGGTAGTATATGTGTATACGTAGACAATTCAATCAATAAATTAGGTCAAATCTTAAAAGTTACATAATACTAAAGGGTGAATTGGACAGATAATCAGAGTTTTTTACATACATATTAGGCAACACTAGGCAACTCTTTAGACTCATCACAGAATCGGGTGGGAGAAGGCAATTCATAAGTGAGACTATTTCTGAGAAAAATGGCTCCTTAATTAGCTCTCAGGATAGACGCCTTGAACGCTGGAAAGAACACTTTGAGGAACAATTTAACTTGCCTACAGCCACACTGAACCTCCCCGCCATCCACCACACACCCGAATGGGATATAGACACTGGTCCGCCGTCTGTAGGTGAGGTTACAAAAGCTATCAGTAATTTGAAACGAGGCAAAGCGGCAGGACCCGACGGAATTATTCCGGAGGTGTTTAAATATGGGGGTGACATACTAGTTTGTAGATTAACTGAGGTACTAGGCAAAGTCTGGGAATCAGAGACAGTACCATCAGACTGGGGTAAGTCACTTATTATACCGATATTCAAGAAGGGAAACAAGTCCTCGTGTGATAATCATAGGGGGATCAGCCTAACGAACATAGTCTCTAAAATCCTAGGCTCAGTAATCATGCATAGACTAAGCAGAACTCGGGAGGAACAGACAAGGGAAAATCAAGCAGGCTTTAGACCAGGTAGAGGGTGCATAGATCATATCTTCACTCTTCGACAGATTCTAGAACATAGACACACTTTTCGGCGTCCAACAATTGTCATATTTCTTGACTTGAAGGCGGCCTTCGACTCCGTGGATCGAAAGGTACTATGGCAATGTCTGACTGTGAAGGGAGTGCCAAGAAAGTACATTGCACTAATCAAGGCACTCTATTCAAACTCACGTAGTCGTGTAAGGGCTTATGGGGAATTGTCATCTGAATTAGTAACAACCAGTGGTGTCCGACAGGGATGTCCACTTTCCCCATTTCTGTTTAACTTCATCATAGATATGCTAATGGAAGTATCCTTAACTGAACGTAGTGACTTAGGAATCGACTTGTTACCAGGGAATAATCTTATGGACTTAGAATATGCAGATGACATAGTCCTGTTAGGGGAGGATGCTGACAAAATGCAGAGTCTTCTGAACACCTTGAGCAGCAATCTTCGTATGTTTGGCATGCGATTCGCCCCTGCAAAATGTAAGATGCTGCTACAGGACTGGACCCCGTCAACCCCTAACTTAGTGATAGGGAGTGAAGTGATAGAACATGTTGACCACTTCACCTACTTGGGAAGTTGTATTAGCACCAACGGACTGATTGGCGATGAAATCTCAGCACGGATCCGAAAAGCTCGAGCTGCTTTCGCTGACTTACACCATCTCTGGCGTAGGCGTGACATCCGGTTATCAACCAAGGGACGTGTGTACTGCTCATCAGTTCGCTCCGTCCTTCTCTATGGCTCTGAAACATGGCCAATACGCGTTGAAGACATGAAAAGGTTGACTGCTTTCGATCATAGATGTCTGCGATCTCTGTCTCACGTTAGGTGGTTTCACAAGATAAGTAATGTTGACGTTAGGCGTAGAGTGTTGGGCAAAGAGGGAAAATCAATCGACGAGGCTATAAAGTTACATAGACTAAGATGGCTAGGTCACGTGGTGCGCATGCCTAACCACCGCCTCCCCCGACGGGCATTGCTAGCTGATATAGGTTCAGGTTGGAAAAGAGCCAGTGGTGGCCAAACAAAAACATGGCATCAATCCATGAAATCCTTGACAGTTAAACTGAGTCAGGTAGGGAGATGCAGACTCCCGGGTTGGGGCCCTCGGGACTCTAGGAATCAATGGCTGGAGACAATAGGTGACATGGCTCAAAATCGTTGTCAATGGCGGCAGATGTATTCAGTCTCTGTAATCTTTCATATTCCTTTCTACCATTACCCATTCTGTTTCACTCTTATACTTGTCAAACTCTATTGATTCTCTTCACTCATCTTCTTGTCTACCTCTGTGTGCTATTTGGAACGTGGCAACTCGAACTGCTGCACTTCGGTGCCAAGTTCTATGTTGAATCCAGACAGACAGACATACATATTAAAAATAGTACGAAGGAAGTGGAAAATAAGAAAGGGTGGAAAGGTTTATTTTAATTCGTATTTACCTAGTCCAAGGGAAAAACAAGGATAGAACAAACTTATTTTATATGCAAAGGTACTAGGATTGTTCTCCCGAATTTCCGTGGCTTCGGGTATGCATAAAAGGCGTGTTCAACTTCCATTCGGAAGGTTCGATGGAATACGGTAAGTAACTTTGAAAGCACTTCTTCTTCTGTCCTGTTTATCAATGAAATGAGACCAAATGGAACTATTTATAGATTTTATCTGGCCTTTTCCGAACCATGAAGGAAGATGCTCAGTGATGCGTTTATTGAGCTGTCCAGTTGTTCACCCTATACAACTTTCTCTGTAGGAGCAGGTAAATTTGTAAATGTACCGTCATTGGTTAAAAAGTTTTATACATAAATCTATGTAAATTAGAGTCAAGCCTGAAGAAAATCTAATTGAAAACAAGTTTGTTAGCTTTTATTTCTTGTTCTCTTTGCTTATTTGAAGTCCTGTCTTCTCTACCTGCTTCTTCAGTCAGTTTGTCAGTTTTCGCCTGCAAGTTTTCGAGTTTGTGTGACATTAAACACATATCATCTGCGAAATATGTTAGCTGTCAAATAATGTTGGTAGCGTAGTCAACAAGCAGTATTCGTGATCCTCGCGTCTGTACACGACCCGGTATCCCCATTCTACTTCAGTCTCAATGTTATTACGAAATATAAAAATGGTTACATTGTAACAACAGAAGATAAGGGCCAGGAAACAGATCGTTTATTAGGAAAATCAACACATATTTATAGACTTTCATGTACATTATTATAGATTATTGTTAGTAGACAAACACAGTATTCTGATTGGTTGTTTCTCACTGAAAGTTTATCTTTCATCTCTTTGTGGCTGTTTCTTGAATGTCAGATCATCTCTGTGCTAATTGTACCCGCCTACGCAAAGTCTGCTGTGATCAGTTGTTGAGTCAGTCTGTGTTCTTGTTTTCACATGACCAATATTTTGGATGTAAACATTGATGTAAATTACTGTTTACCAATTTAGCTAGCAGCCAGCTCTCACCACAACATCACATAACATTGGGATACTTTCATTAAACAGTCTCTTTCCGTGTTTCACCGTGGAGCCAGGTGAAAACGTTGGTAGAGAACCGAACGCAATGGAGACGTGCGACTTAGGCCCTTTGTTCCTCTAGGAACTAAAGAAAATAATAATAATAATAGTAATTTACGCCTTAATACTATCCTATTTTCTAGCCAATAGCATTTTTGAAGTTTTGATTTAGTTAGCCAGTTGATATATATATTAATTAATACACAATCTCTACCATGATGTTTGCTTAATAATTTTTATTTTGGTGTTTGTTGTTCCCCTTCCCCGCCACCCTAACCCCACTCAATTTTCTAGCTAATTGTTCAATTAAAGGATAAAAGTATCTATCAGATTGGAGTTAATCGAATCTGTAATAATAATAATAATAATAACAAGGTCAGTGTGTGCTTAAGACCTGTCTCAATGTATGAGGCTGTTAGATGAAGAGGCGAGCATTATCAAAAGATGTGACTCCTCATTTATCTATCCATCTATAAGTGAATGCTGTAATTGTCTCACGATGATGATGAAGGTGATAATGATGCCAGGAACATATAATATACCATTTGTACAGATTGCCTTTTACCCTATCCCCTTATAATGTTGTAATATGTAACCATTCTCATAGTTTTAATTTCACTTTTGTTTTCTTCATGGATCTCCTGTACACTGATTTTATGATTTCTTGTTTGAATATACTTTTCTTAATCATAATGTGTTATTATTTTACTGCCGAATTTACTAGCTTGCTGGCTTTCTACCCACTCCCAAGCCAGCATAAAGAGGGAGGGTGATCGGGCGTGGCACCCTACATCACAAAATCAATCAAAACGCTACTGAAACTTCAACGTACAATAAAAATATTCGAAATACAAAAAAAATCACATCGCTGGAGACCGTCGAATGACATCGCGCGCCAGACCACTGCTCGAGTGGTAGTCGATTGAAGAATGGCGAGTGGGTTGTCGGTGACAGTGTGTGGCATGGAGGAAATCAGAGATTATGCGCAATCGTAGGCCCAGATGAAGAGTGCAGCAGAAAACATAGGAAAGTGGAGATGTGTTGTAGGAGTTCGAATCAGTAGGAAGCCTCATTCCACCCGGGGTTTGCCCCATAATGTGGTTGATATAGTTAATATTATTGCTCTTCATCTTTTGTGTTCCTAGTAGAACATAGAGCTTCAGCAGCACATCTGGCTTTCACCCATATATGTCTCGACCTCAAGACAGCATTGACTTATTACCAGGGAACTGTCTTGTTGACTTAGAATATGTGCGGGTGTTATTGTCCCCCCTCCTAGGTGAAGGTGATGACAAAAATGTAGGGTCTTCCGAACACTTTAAACAGAAATCTTTGAATGTTTGGCATTCGATTTGCTCCGGTCAAATGCAGGTAGGATGATTCTACAGGAGTCTGTCTGTCTGGATTCAACATAGAACTTGACACCGAAGTGCAGCATTTCGAGTTGCCACCTACAGGAGTGGACGCCTACACTGACTCCTAGCTTGAAGATAGAGAGGGAAGTGGTTGTTGGAGCGTGTTGACCATCACTTTATGTATTGGTAGAGTTGCATCAACCTTGACAGCCTGTTTGATGATGAAATCTCAGCACAGATAGAGAAGGCTCGTATGGGAAATTCACAACCTGCGTTGTCTCTGGCACAGACGTGATATCCGACTGGCTATCGATTAGAGGACGTGTGCGGTGCTCAGAAGTCCTCGCCGATTTGTGGCTATTGGATGTAGAAGAGATGAAAAAGGCTAGCTTTCTTTATCATGTGTACCTCCGTTTTATCTCTAATATAAGTTGTGGTGTTTTGGACTGAGTAATATTGAGGTTAGTCTTCGGTCGAATGTTAGATGAGGAGGGGAAATCAGTCGATTAGGTTGTGAGGCAATATCGATTGAGTTGGTTCACCTTACCATCGTCTTCCACGACAGGAAATGTTAGCTCACATAGGATGAGGTTTGGAAAGAGCTTGTGGTTGTTAGACCAATACATTGTATCTCTCCGTGAAATCTTTAACACCTAGTTTGAACCAGCAACGTGGGAATGTGTTGATTTCCTGATTGCGCCGGTAAGAAACACTGTAGGCTAGAGGCGATTGATAGACTGGCTTAAAATCGTTCTCAGTGGCGGTGAGGTATTGACTCTTTGCGATTTGTCAAATCCAATAAATCCTGATGATTTCCTTTTTTATGATTCTTTCTCTATCACATTTCTGCTTTTTAACGTTTTTCTGAATCTCTTTTCCCACTCGAGTTCCACTAGAGAGTGTTCCTGTTGTATGAAGTCAATCAACGGTCTCCTCGACACGAGTCCTTTCCATAGTCACTTTTTGCTGGATATTTCTTCGTCATTAGGTTCTTGGTTGGTTAGTCGGTTGGTTCTTTACAGGAGTTCCTTGTTGGCTGTCCTTTCTCGCCGGCCATTTGATCTTCAGTATCGGGCTAGTGAATGCAGTTGTAGATGAAATTCTGAAGTCTTTTGGAAATACTCAGGGTGACATGTTTTCCTAGGGTGTGAAACATAGATCACTGACTGACATGATATTCATGTTGTAATTTCATCCTTTTTTTCTTTGTGCTGAGTATTGTTCATCCCTACAATAATTTCAATGGTACTAATCCCTGGGGTGTATTTGTACTACTGTTTTCAGTAGTATAGTACTGAAAATGAACAATGCTGGTCAGATGGTAGAAATAATGTTTATTGTGACAAAATACAATGAACAATACACATCCTACATTGATGTCATAAGTTACAGATAATTTCATCCAATGTGCGTTTAGAAAAAAAAACAAATTGAACGAATAAACGTGTATTCCTTTCCAGTTAGTTCCTCATCATCGGCTGTACACTAGTATACCGTTTTTAGTATATCCAAAGTTAACCAATCATGTCGTTATTTTCATCTATCAGTCTTAAGTATACGGGTGGGGTGGGCTGAAATTAGGAGGTTAACAGTCATCAAAACGAATAACTGCTATATGTCAGTAACAAGATATTTAAGTTTCAAAGAGGTGGGGAGGAGAAATTTATTACGGAATTCGAGGTAAAAGAATTCGTAGGGGATTAGCGACAAGTTATTACACAATCAAGAAATTTGTAAATAATAGTGACGACTCAGAAGAATTACGTAAAAAACAAACAAGTTATAAGGTTTCATTATGAGTTTAAATCGGTTAGAGAAACATTGGGAACCACTACTGGATTCCTATGCGGTTGTCTCATCCCAGTTTGGGACTCTTCACGGTACCTATCGACTCACTATCAGGGTTCGAAACCAGGACCTTCCGGCCAAAATGCAAGTTCGTATACCATACAGCCACTGGGACCTAACTCAATGGCCAGTTCATGATTTCCAACTTCTGCTAATAATTCACTACATAGAGCGGGTCTGAGGACAAATACATGCCGACTACGTCGGCTAGTGGGATCTCCACTGACAGTCATTTCTGTGCTGCATGGCCACACGGCTAATTGGCAGTAATAAGTGACCAGTGAGAGAGACGATGTCTGTTTGTAATCTCTTCCTCCACAACGATGGGTCACAGGCCGGGCTCAGTTAAGAATGAGTTTTTCCTACCAACTGAGAGATCTCTCGAAACAGGCGCGTCAGGGAGATATCGTAGTGCTAGCTGAGGACATGAATACACAGGTTGGACGTCTAGGCTCACAGGAGAGTCGTCTAGGTTGTCAGTGGGGTTTGAACTGTCGCAGGTCAAATTATGGAGACAGTCTTCGGCAGATTACAACATATTTCTAGCCAGCACTATATACTGACACAGCCATTGTCGTGGCGCTACCTGGCGTTTCCCTCTGCCAATCAAATCTCTACTCAGATGGTTCACATCGCCATCATTTGTTGGTGGCGTGGATGCATACAGGACTGCTGCTCCTTCTGGATCGCATGACTCAATCCCAGTTATGCTCTAGTGAGTCACAGGTTCATCCTGAGATCTGGTGACGTTGGCGAATGATGTCGCCTACAGGTTGATATAAATAAAGTGGTAGTACTTGTAGCCTCTATGAAGTTCCAGACTGAGTGTAAGTCAAAGGTAGGTAACAACACTCCAAGTGGTATCGATGGACATTGGCTCAGACCACAAGACGTTTTGAAAATGGCGAGTATCGGTGGCTTCGGCTTAGGAGAATTCCCCAGTATAAACCACTGGGTTTCTGTGAGTTCCCTGAACCTTGTGGATGAGTGCCGGTCCATTCATGCAGATAATAAGTGTAACAACTCGAAACATATATAAGTATTTAGATAAAGCAATAAGAAGACGCAATTTGTCTGAATCGTGTAATGTATTTGCACAACACATTTCGAACAATCTGATCACACACGGACTTGTCATAGGAATATACATGAAATTGATAAAGACTTAAGAGGTGAGAAAATAGACTAAGGTCAAGTTAAAAGGACATATTCAAGGTCAATATAACAATGAAGACCACTAAACCAAATAACAAAGGTAATGGTACATCTGGTATGGTATCAAAACAAAATGTAGAAAGGAGGGTTTTAATATGATGACCAATTGTTTTTGAACCCAGAAAGGTGGTTTTAACTTTCTAATTGCCAAGGTGGGCTTCCACAATCTTTAGGATACGCCCCAAACACATTTTATAGATAGGTTTAAAAGATCTGTTAACATCAATTTTATGTCCTGTCTCTATAATATGTTTCGCAATAGAAGAGCTAGGTCTCCTGTTCTCACCGTTAATAGGTTCTGAAGCCATTTAGGAATATGCTCTGAAGCTCTTACTTGCAGAGATCGGACGCTGCTGTTAAAAAGACTTTATGCAGCTAATATCATAATAATAGAGAATGTAAAGCCATTATATCTATCTAAACCTTTCGAACATATGAAAAATGATGTCGCATCCCACTGTATCTACCAATTTGAATGTACGTGTGGACACATATATATAGAGAGGACTCATCGATCTCTGCAAGTAAGGGCTTCAGAGCATATTCCTAAATGGCTTCAGAAACAAATGGATTCTTCAGAACCTATTAACGGTGAGAACAGGAGACCTGGCTCTTCTATTGCGAAACATATTATAGAGACAGGACACAAAACTGATGTTAACAGATCTTTTCAAACCTATCTATAAAACGTGTTTGAGGCGTATCCTAAAGATTGTGGAAGCCCTCCCTGGCAATTATAAAGTTAAAACCAACTTTCTGCATTCAAAAACAACTGGTCATCACATTAAACCCTCCTTCGTAAATTTTGTTTTGATACCATAGCATCCACTTCACGCTCAGCTTTCACCTTGCATCTCCTCAGGTAGAACAAGAAGTAACTTCAGAAAACCGTATGCTCGTACGTCTAAGTATAGAAATTCTATGATACCATACTTGGAACGTATTTTATGTGATGAAAATAATGTCTGGCAAGAATTAATTAACCTTTTTTCATCTAGTAAATAAATAATTCCCTCCATCCATCCTTATATACCTTCAAGTTTTACTTATATTATTTCTATTATATTTATAGTCCTGTTACTTCTTTGTTTTACTCTCATAATTGCAGACACCAGCTTATCTCCATGACTGCTGTAATCTTTGTTTTTCCCCTCACCATATCATGTAAAGAGAACATTATTTTCAATAATTTTAAACATGCTTGGATTTTTATACGCATATAACGACAACACTGTGTGAAACAAGCCCACGGGATTTTTCACTTGTATTATTATTATTGCCTTAGCTGTTATCATTATTATTATTATTATTATTATTTCCGTTTTATATACTGCATGTTTCTGACATTACCCCTATTGTAAATGTGGAAGATGTTCTGTGTGAATATTTTTATTTATAATTTGAGGAAATTAGATGCTAGACTGTGATTAATGCTGAAAATTCCATTCTGTATCACAAGTACTGTTTTTGGAATAAAGTAAATTATTATTATTATTATTATTATTATTATTATTATTATTATTATTATTATAGCAGATGTACTATAATCTCTGCTATTTGGTTTAGTGGTCTTCATTGTTATATTGACCTTGAATATGTCCTTTTAACTTGACCTTAGTCTATTTTCTCACCTCTTAAGTCTTTATCAATTTCATGTATATTCCTATGACAAGTCCGTGTGTGATCAGATTGTTCGAAATGTGTTGTGCAAATACATTACACGATTCAGACAAATTGCGTCTTCTTATTGCTTTATCTAAATTGATAAAGGGAACTAATTGTTTTAAATAAAAGTATTTACATAAGAACTGCGAAGACTGGAGGTCAGAACGTGTGTTTGTGATGGAATTATCAGTTCATCTAGCAAGCTCTTACAGCTCATTCGAGCCACCGTTAGTAAGAAACAAGGTGTCGTTGGGATAGTCAGTGAGGCAGCTGATATCCCAGTTATCAATCAGAAAAGGCGCCTAGAACTCTTGAAAGAGCACTTCGAAGTGTATTTTAACTGATCAACAGCATCACTAACTACAGTGATCCATTGCCGGTCAGTTCTAACCTACCAGACGAAGTGGGGATCGGAAAGGAACGCCAACTGCTGAAAAGTTATAAGACAACCGGCCCAGACAGCCCACTCTTGATTCTTTTTCAAGATTAGAGCGAGATCTTCGTCAGGGAGCTGACTGGATGGACTATCCAGGAGAGTATGGGCAAGTGAGATTGTTCCATCAATGTGGAATGAATTCTTCATGGTCTCCATCTGTAAGAATGACCGACGTAATGCTTGCAGAAATCAAAGGGCTACTGGTGTGCTGAACCAATGACGAACTGATTCTGTAGGAGCATGGCAGTTTTCGTTTAGGCCGTGAATCCACTGATCATGTGTCCGCCCTTCGTCAGTTTCTGGAACACCACCACACGTTTCCCAAGCCAAAAGTCATTGTGTTTCTTGATATGAGTGTTGGGTTCATTTCGCTGGACAGAGCTGTTCTCTGAAACTTTCTTTTAGAGAGGTATGTACATGAGAAGTTTGCTAACATCCTGAAAGCCCCATACAGAAACACCTCAGGGAGAGTTAGGGAATAAAACCATCTATCATCTCTGCTTCCCATCACCAGTGGGGTTAGACATAGCTGTTCAATCGCTCCAATTCTCTTTAACTTCTTCATCATTAACATTCTGGAGTTAACCTTGAAGGAAGTGTCTAACAGTGGTAAAGATGTGCTTCCTGGAAAAAGACATTTTGACAACCAGTGTGTAGACGATATCGTATTACTGTGAGACAGCGTTCAAGCCGCGCAAATCCCACTTTGTCAGTCTACGATCAGTTTCTGTAAGTATGGTACGTAATTGTACCTAAAATCACACTGGCAGATAAATTCCTTGAAGTTGTTAATAAGCTATTGTACCTTGGTGATTGCGCGACTGTTAGCGGAGGGTTGTGACAGATGTAATACTTAGCCATTCAGAGAATGCTATGGTGGCATATGATAGTTTGGCGACAGCTGTGTTTATGGCCGTCACTACGTCAATCTGGCTGTCGAGGTTAGGGTTTATACACTGTTTCAGTATGTACAGTCTTGCTGTACACACCAATGAGACCTGTCGTCTATGGATTCACCTCTCCATCATTCCGTCAAGTTTTCTTGTTAGATTCACATGAGGAAAAAATTGTATTCAAATAAGATTGTACATCTGAAGGGGAAAATAAATTCACCCATAGAGCGTATTCGTGGAAGTACCTGTTTTGTTTTCATTAATGTACGAGTGCAGAATATTCATGAGAAGAATTAGATATGATGGAGAAGATTCGTAGCATAGGTGGATGTTTAAGATGTGGTTGTGTTCTCTGACCTGGATAGTGAATTTGCGAAGCTTTCATTGCCCACCATTTAGCATTATCTTCAGCGCATACTCCAATTTGAAGTGAGCTTTTAGTTTTCTCCACGAGTTTATTAATCCTCCCTCCTGGTGGAAACATTGAACGTGATTGGTGGTTTTTGTGTGTTTACACACCCTCTAGGCTACTTGTATTGGAAGTGATTGTATTCTTGACTTGAACTTTGACTAACTGCAGCACTCCAACCTTAAGGAAAATTGAAGGAGGAAGTCTCATGCACGCCCTCCAAGAGAATTGATATCCACGGAATTTCACCCAAAAGACATATACCCCCAGACCTACCTATTAAATCAAAGGCCTCTAAGGAAAGCACAAAGAACATCGTCCTACCATAAATAAAGGGCATCTCAGAAATCACTGAAAGACTCTTCAAAACTTTAAGAATTCACGTCGCACACAAACCAACAAAATCACTTCACTCACTTCTATGTCAACCAAAACACTCAACAACGAAAGAAGATAAAGCCAACACCATTTACAAAATAAATTGTAACAAATGCGAAAAACAATACATTAGCCAAAGTGGACTCCCCTCCTCTTCGTCTTCGTATCCACGAACATAAGTTAGCCATCAAAAGACATGACATCCATCCCCTGGCTCATATCGCTACATACAGACAATCACGGATATCAATTCGAGTGGGACAACCAGCATTCAAATATTAGACAGCGGAAACACCAAGAATGTTAGAGAATTTTTAAAAGCCTGCCTGGTATTCCAGTTAATCGTCAATCAATAGACACATCGAGATTGACAAAATTTACCAATCGATAAGAAAGGAACCTCACACACAAAAGGTGAAAGTTCAAGTCAAGGTCACGCGTCAGAAGAGACAACTAATAAACTCGGAGATATCCAAAAGTGTACTTCGATTCAAATTGAAGTATTCGCTGAAGATGTTGCCTAGTAGTGGCCAATGAAAGCTTCGCAAATTAATTATCCAGCTCAGAGAACACAAAATGAGAATTTTTTATTTCAAACAGCCGTATCACAGTATTCAAAGTGTCTCTTATTCATGCTTGTGTTTGTCAAATCGACATGTACTTCTGTCTCCTTGTACCCTTATAGAAAAATGATAGTATAATTAGAAGGAAACTATATAGACCAGGCATTATTCACTAATCTAAAAAAAAACATCTCAGGTGTAATAAACGATATTCTAAAAGAGAGAGTTTGAAATTAGTTTATACCAAATGAATATTGAGATTCAAATGAATCGTAAAATAGTTTAAATGGTCAATATTCATAACCTAATGAACATTTCAACATGAATAAAGTAGAAGGTTCTAAGCGATGAGGCTAACATAGTGTTATTTGTTTGATAGGATCTGACAGAAAAATCTACAACCGTTGACTTCCCAAAAACGCAGCAGAACACAGCAGTTCAAAACAAAACGTGCTGAATTTGCGTCTAAAAGAAAACATCATCGATTACTGAGGTGCATCCAGGTAGTGAGTCGTATACGTGGAGAAAGAATGAGAACCCGCGCATACCTAAATTATGAATAGGATCATGTAGGTGATTTAAGTCAGACAGTTTACGTCACCTACTTTAGATTCGACTAATGGTCATCTTTCCTAGCCTAATTTTGGCATGAAAAATGAAATGAGTCATTGAGTCACAATGTGACATCCTCATACTAGAAATATCACAGTGAGCGTGTATGACTTAATGAATAATGTCTTCGACACTGTATGCTGCTGACAATCGTCAGCTGCTTCTGCGAATGTAAGCTTCCGTCTTTGTATTGAATCTAAATTCCCATCTTTCTTACAAATGACGTCTAGAGAATTTTTCATCTGATGGTGGATTATCACAGCCTGCACTGAAGGTGTTATCTACGGGAGGGATAATGAAAGCTTCACAATTAAATTAACCAGCTCCTCAGAGAACACAACCGAATTGAAGTTTCAAATTCCTCTGTACCCATAGAAATAGAACTTTTCCGAATTCACATATACAAGTAATATGACAAAATAAGAAAGCGCTGTTCATTCATTTAATCTACTTTGTTTAATTACATTATAAGGGTACAATTTTCGCCTTCTTCACATTAAAATACAACATCAAATTTAACAGCAAGACTTTCCACACCACATTCATCTGAACCACGTAGTATTCGGAAGAATCCATTTTCACCCCATTGACCACCCCAACTATTTTTTATATTCCAGTAGGGTAGATTTGTATCCTGGTCAACACCATAACCAATTAGCAGTACAGCGTGGTTAGTTAACTCGAATGGATTGAATGGAGGATGTTGATTCTGTCCGTCGAATGTTTTACAATAGAAAAAGAAAGCAAAAGTGTATGTGTTTAAATTGTTAGGAATTGGATTGTCTTGAGACAGTGTTTTCGACAGTACTCTTCAAAATCAAATGAAAAAGAAATATTGTGGAAGCAAATCATATGATCTGAGAGAATAATAGACAACACATAGAGCTGGTGTATGAAGCCATTCGAGTGGAGTGTGATGATGTCGTTTAACATCGATATGAGATGGTGACTAGCAGTTGGATTCAGGATGCACATTTCACTCTATTTTGAACTGGTCATCACCTACCTGCAATCCACATTGAATGAGATACCATTCTAGCGATACTCGAATTCTGGACCGATTGTCACAATCACTAGTACAACGGCTATCTCAGTTATTATTTCCTTAAATTAATTTCTTATTTCCCTTTGATTACAGCTTCTGCTGAGACTTCGGTCTGTCTGTCTGTCTGTCTGTTTTCGACATAGAACTTTGCACATATGTGCGGAAGTTCAAGTCGCCACACTCCGTGTAGCACGCGAAGCAAGAGAAGAAAGTACAAGAAAAGCATAATAGTGACAGTGGGCAGAGGTGTGAGACAAAGGAGGAGTAATAACGAAGAACAAAACAGTTTCATTGGAAATCATAAGTCACAAGGAGTGGATGCATCTGCGCTATGCATTGAGAACGATTTTGAGCCATGTCACCAATTGTTTCCAACCATAGATTTTTACCGTCCCGAGGACCCCAGCCTGGAAGTCTACACCTTTCTACATGGCTTAGACCAACTGTTGTGGATTTCATTGACTGGTCCCAAGTTTTTGTTTGACCGCCGCTAGCTTTTTTCCAGCCTGACCCTATATCCGCTAACATTGCTCGTCGAGGGAGGCGATGACTTGGCATACGTAACACACGTCCTAACCATCTCAGTCTTTGTAACTTCACGACTTCGTCGATTGATTTCCTCTCCTTACCTAGAACTCGACGCCTAACCTCAATATTGCTCACCTTATTATGCCACTTTACACGGGAAATAGAGCGCAGGCACCTATGATCAAAGACAGCTAGTCTTTTCATGTCTTCCACTCTCAGTGGCCAGGTTGAGACTTCGGAGGATATATACACTCTGGATTTCACTGTTAGACACATTACGCTAAACAGCATTATGTCAAAATTCTGACCACCGATTGATATTAGTTAGACAAACATTAAAGACCAGCATTGAGTACTACACAGGTGTTTCTCCCTAACTTGGGATACATCGTCACTATCCACCCACCACCAGGGGTCGAATCCACAAGACGAACTATGTCGTTGACCATTTAGCCTCTAGGACCGAACACAATGACCAGTCGATGAATTCTAACTTCTACCTACTCGTGATATATATTGACGTTAGCAATAGAGTGAATAGTGAGAGAACACATGTAACAGGATATTTCTTCCTGATGTGACTAAAACACATCTCCCTATTATAGTGAGTAATTATTTAAGGATGTGATTAAGCTATTCACCTTACATGTATTCATCAAGGTGATTGAAGAGGAGTTCGTTTTGTTACCCACCTATCGCTCTTATCCTGTTTTTCACTCTTCCCCAAAATCCATCGGTTAGTTGAATAGGTAGTATGAGTTCCAGTAGGACGACCGAAAAAGATTTACTAGAAAAAATGCACATAATAGAAATAAACACCCTAACTCGAATCCTGATCCCAACACTAATCGTAACCCCGAACTTAAACGTCACCTTAACTAGCTATCAACATATTATGAAACAAAACGAAATTGGGATGAAAGTTGTTGTTCAATTTGTTTGTAGTGCGGCTATAATAATGGTAGATGGCGTCACCCAACTAATAGTATGCGTTCAAGGTCATTGATGAGTTTTGCGCTGGTGGTTCGCTATACTTTAACTTGTCCGGATTGGATTTATTTTAAGTATGTCAATGGATCAATAACAGTTAGCGAACCAGTGAAGATCAGAGAGTATTGGACAACTGTTCCGGTCTAGTATGAAACTGATTGGCTGGTGACTGCCCTAAAATCACGAATTCGTAATAGTTGGAATTCATGGATGAGTCAGTGAGTTGGTTTCCAGTAGCTGAATAGACCCGTGTGGTGAGTGCTCAATTCCGTTGAGTGCAAATCAAAATAAAGTAGCTGTCCAGTACTCCATGGTTCTCAATGTTTCAGTCAAACTTGATCAAATTTAGAACATATCAAATCCCTACAGACTAACTGGTGTAAATTCATAACGAGTTTGAATTCAACAAGTTAACTGCAAATATTCCTCATTACTTTCACTTCTCTATACACTCGACAAATACTCACTTCAATCTTTGTGTGTCGATATACACCTGATTCGTAAAAGATAAAATCATTGTACACTTCAAATCCAACAGGAAATGGTCCATTCTGAACTAATTCTAATTTCATGATTTCTTCATTTGTTGCCCCATAATAACCACCAAGATAGGCATAGTTGGTTGTGTAATATCGTTCACAATGTTTACTTGTTTTACACTGACTTCTTTGTTTTCCAGCATATGGATTACACTTCTCCGTGACCATGCCGAAGTCTTCAGCATATTTACCAGCAATTAAATAAGGAAAGCCACCATCACAACCTAAAAGAGGCAAATTAAGCTTGCGTTAATCAAATCATTTTCTTTGAATTTAAGCTATTTGAGTTATTTATTTATTGATCGCCCTTGACAGCTTTGATGGCGAAGTCGTCTGGAATCGACTTCAACACAGTGGAGCGTAGTGCACCGAATCTTTATCAACCTGAAACAACAACAATTACACGAAAATTTCGCATGTCAAATGATACACAACGCCGATATCAGCGAAGCCTTATGCGGCGAATTGAGTAAGGAGTAAATCAGGCTGTGAACCAAATATCACTGGCGATGTTCCTGATTGTGGTGGTCCGGATTATGTGGCACTCAGTGCTCGGGAGCGAGAAGAGATGAAATCTAGACTTCGTGGATGATTTATACCTCATGTCACATAAACTCGAAGACTAACAGACGAAAATCAGTAAGCTGACAGGAGCTACAAAGACTGGACACTGAACGGGAAACATGAAGAAGACGGAAGTGATGAAGACAGCCAACCAACAATGACGACAACAAGCACCAATCACTATCAAAGGGAGAAATTTGAAAGGCATCACATACTTCACTTTCCTAGCCAGGCATCGTCGTTTTAACCGTTGTCAAGTCAGTCACTTCGTCTATATGAGTCAGAAACTTGGCTAGCGCGTCACCGGAAGCATTTCATACAGCCGACTGGAAAAGTTTATCAACAGATATGCCCTTTGCTGGCTGCATATAGAGGATGAGATGGCCAGCCACACATCATTATAAATAAGTAACGATCGAACCAAGGACCTACTGGTCTAAACATATTTAGAAGAAAATTGAGGTGGGTCGGATACTGTGAGGAGACCGGTGAGTGACATCTCGCGTCAGGCCACTGGTCAACTGGAATCTGAATGGGAAATGATGAGTTTGGTGTCTAACAGTGACCTGTGGGAGATTCGCAAGAGGTGCAAGTGAAAGCCAATAGGAAACTGTGGAGCCAGTCGAAGAAGACCTCGAAGAACAGGACAAAATGTAGGCGTCCTGTTGATGTCCGATGTTCCAATTGGGACCCAAGGAAACAGTGACGATAATAATAATATCGTAATAATACTAGTGGTGGAATAAATAAATTATCGAAGAATATATATTCTTGCATTATTATTGTTGACTTCTTATTTTACCTTGTGAATACGGACTACAGTCCAGGATATCTTGAGGTGATAGAATAGGTTGAAGGGTAAAATTACTAGCTAGAAGTAAACGAGACTCAACTGCAGCTGCGGATGCAAACGCGTAACAACTTCCACATTTGCCTTGATCACGAATAGGTGTCACTGGATTACGAAGACCTTCAGGTGGATTGAGCCAATCGAATTCACGAGGTAAATGTTGAATAGCTGATATCATTTCCGCTGACAGATACTTCTTTGGTGCATGTATGGATGGTGATCTGAAGTGAAAGAGAAATGACAGAAAATGAAGGCTTCAATTCTATATTGTTTCATTTACTGTGATATACAATGAATACTGTAAGATATGTGCTATACATTGAATACACATGACAGCACAAACTCTATTTGAGTACTATTCCTTTGCATTCCGAGTGGCACGAATGAACTCAGGCTGCAGGTGTGAAATTTTGACAACAGTGGTTTAGAAGTTCGTCGGCCGAGAATCGTAACCCAAACCACAGTCTTATAGTACCCTATAGTTTACACTAGAAACCCTCATACTCTGAAATTTAAAATTCAAGAACATTAAATTTCACAGTTATTACACACTGAAGCTTGCATTAGGTGAAATAATTTATTTTTCAAACACTGTGTGCTATCTCTTGTGGGATCGTCGCCGTCCGATGATGAACAGACGCAAACTAGGACGAAACTGTTGTCCGATACTCTCAGGTGTTCCATCGTTCTCTAAACAACAGTGATTAGTGACAAAATCTACCGGGATGTAGTTGATTTAAGTTGTAAACCACTGAAAGTTCAGCCGCATATGCATAACAAAGAAATTAATAAAACCTTCATAAGAATTACCATACAATTTATCCCATTAGTTCTGTGCTGTAGATACGGTGGTTTTTTCTTGCCAATACGAAATTTTAACAGTTTTATGATGCATTGTGTTGAAAATAACTATAAATGTTTCTCAGTATCAGTTGTTGATACTCAGCCGTTCATCTTGACAAAGCCAGACATCCAGTAGCTTGACGAGGACAAAATTCGTCAAAATGTGTGAAAAGTGAAATCCAGGGTTGAATATTTTACAGCTTTAGGGTAACTATATATTTATGTTGAATACAGTCGGTGATTTGTTCACTATAACTTCATCAGAGCAATACAGTGTCACCTGTTTATCCATCTTCCGTTTGAAATCACTGTTCTACAGATATTGAGTTTTGTTTTTGTTTTGTTTTTGATTTTGATTTACAGCTTGATTCCACACTGTATTTTTGGTACAAGTATGGAATTTTCAGCGTGGATATCGGTAGCCCAAATTTTGCAGGCCGACCATAGATATCAGGTGTGCGCCGGCGTGGGCTCGAACCCCGGACCATGTGAATGGTCGGCGAGAGTCCTAACCACTGTGCCACCGACGAGTTCAATTCTGTCACTAATAATGATAATAATAAATCATGAAGTATTTATGAAGCACTTTTGGAACCACTATCATCCGCATAGCCCTTCGTGTTTCTTTCTGTTCAGACTGAATTCTATCAGTAAGGTTTGCAATGTGACCACCACCATTTCCGGTAGCTCCCCATTACGGTACTCTCTGAATTGTTATTGTTAGATAATTGTAGGTAGTTAACAAAAGGGAGTCTTCAACCTAGATTCCGTGTTTGTTGATGTTCACCTGTCAGGCGGATGCATATGCGACATTCAAGGAGCACATTTCCCATCTAAGATTCGGAACTGTGCCAACCAATTCTACAGTCAGACGTTACCACTGAAGTATTCGGGCTCACGAACGATTTCATGTAGGACCGTATTGGATACTCTGATTGAACACTAAGCGATAAGTAATTAGTATCATTCATGTAGTTCTTAGTGTTTTGCGCAGACTGAATTCTATCAGTCAACTTTACAGTGAGTCCACGATGCTAGGTGACTTACTTGATTGTCACAATCCATTCCGAGTAGTTGTTAGATGGTAATTATTAAAGTCTGCTAGCTATTGATTGCGAGGAAATGAGTTGACTACTGAAAAATGCATGTTCAGCATTTAAAAAGAACATTTATGAAAAGCATTGATTGTTAAATCTTCAAAGCAAACGTAATGTGGGGTTCAATATGAAACCAGTCTGTGTGAACTTAAAAGATGAATGTTTCTCTTTTGTTCTAACTGATCTCTCACATTTTGGAAAAGTATGAAAACATGACAGAAAAGTATTAGAGGAGTTCACTCTGTTTTTCATTCCTTTAGTTTTAAGAATAGCGACGGTCTTCAAGCGTTTCTTAAACTTTTAGAATCAGTGTCATCGCTCTATGTGGAGTGACATTGTTAGCATCAGACTCAACCTACCCCCCTACCTACTGGGTATACCATAGGTTAGGAAATTTGTTAAGGTATGTGTCAGACTTGAACTTCCCGTCTAACCGACGATCATTCTATCATTGACCCAGTGATCTACAAAAGGAGGTCATTTAGAACTATGTGACTCATCATATTTAAGACAAATGAACTAATACTCTGCATTATATCCATTGTCAATGTTTGCATTCTATTAATCAGATTATGAAAACAACACAAGAGAGGATGTTTCGATGAGTAACTACTTTTATTACTGTATTTAGAACTTTTTATTATCAACATCTGGGAGGCATCACATTGAACTGGGATGTTTATGGAAGTGAATCTTGGCTGTCGACATCTTCATAGGTGGTGGAAAGTTTTCTTCTATAAAATCTGAAACGTTCGTCAAGGATATTTTAACCATCACTTTCTTTACATTTAAAATTAAACGGCCACGTTGCTTTGTGTGAGTGTGATAACCTTCTGAAGATCATATCTAGAGTGGAAGAATAGAATCTCTGATCCTTAGATTGGGAGTACTGCAGGAGTCATTAAAGTGACCCTTCTCTCGTGTTTCAAAAGAAGAGACATGAGAGGTAATTTGTTACTAGTCTTTAGAGTTTGTCATATGATATGAAAGTGCTGGAAACAATAGTAGACAGTACGCTTTTTGCATTATTGAAGTAATAAAAAAATAATGTTCAGAAAATTTATCACCTACAAAGTTCTTCAGGAAATACTATGCGCTGTAGCATCCAAGGAAATCTTCATTTTCCCTTGGCAGACCGTTGGAAGGACAGCTGTCAGTGGGCTGGATAATTCCACAACAATGCGAAACTGTAATAATGACTTGAAATTATTATCAGAAATAGTCGAAAACAAGCAAATCCACCCTCTCAGCTCTAGTGGAATAAATATCCTAGAGAAAGGACTAAACTACAAAGTGACGCATAGCTGAGTGAAGTCAGAGGATGTCATTCCTAGCAGCATATGAATAACAATAGACTCACTCGATAAGACAACAACTGAACATGGCCAGAGCACAACGAAATCAAGCAAAGAAAACTATCAGAGGGAGAAGAAAGATTTCTTTGTATGTATAGATATATATAGTAGGTATGGGCGTTATATTAGTAAATGAACTTCTAGAAGGATTGTAAAGTATTCTAGAGAGAGGAAATTAAATCGAATTTTAGGATAAATTAACCATATTCAGATGCGAAGTAGCCGGGATGATTAACGACTCCGCTAGGTGTTTTCGCTGCTGTTGTTGTGTTCTTTAAGTTTTTATCGTCCTTCTGAATAACATCTTCAGTGCTAACTTTAGTGTGAATTTTCTTATCATATATTTCGACACGTGTATCATAACTGTGATCGTATCAACTATAGTTCGGTAGTTTTCTGCACTATGTAGCATAAATGACCAAATTCAGATATTCAGCACTAATGTAGAGTCAGTTAGTTCCCGTTATATGGATCCAAAACTTGAGCACCGCATCACGGAAAGCATTTTCGACAGTGAGCTACAGACTTTTACCGATGACTGCCCCATCGTCGGATAGGCAGCCAGAAACAATTATCAACAAGAAACTATGGGAACGAGGCGGTCAAGGACCTACTAACCAAAAATACATCGAAGAGAATATAGATGCGTTGGACGCATGCTGAAGAGACCACTGGTTAACATCACGTGTCAGGAAATCGCTCGAGTGGAACCTGAATGCGAAACGACAAGTTGGGCTGCCTGTTGTGACATGGAGGAGATTGTTTGAAGAGGAGACGACAGCCTATCAACAGTTATGTGATCAGCTTAGGAGAACCGCAAACAGCAGATCGAAGTATAGATGTCCTTATTAAGTTTTAAGTTCAACTTAGAACAACCCAAGCGAACTATAAGTAATAGTAGGCGCTTTTTCGTATATTAGAAACTTCTAATGAGGCAGTTATAAAACGTTTAGGTAGAGAAGCAGATGATTCACTTGATTACCCCATTGTTCGGTAGAAATGATCACTTATTCATAGTCGGATATAATATACTGTCCGCGCCCCCTAGTAGACTTTACAAGGAGTCAATCAGTGGGAGAGGCTATCCATTTTGAGCTTCGTAACCTTTCCCTGTCGTCTCTAAAGCATATCAATAATCCTGATGAAACTGATATCGCCATCAAGATCCAAACCAACATCACTAATTCTTGAACTCAGAATCCGTCTTTTAAAACACCAAAGCGCTATCCACTCATTCGCAGCATCGTCACTCACTGAAAAGTGCAGGTACATCCATATGACAAGTCTCGAATAGGACGAAAAGCGCATCCTAGATTCGACTGGTAGTTATCATCCACCAAATAACTTCAACTTGATTTCATTGACATCATTGGAGCTTCAAAAGTAGGTGTCAACATGTCAATAGTGGCTGGAAATTTTGGTCCAACTAGTCGATAGGGCAATCAGAACTGAATTTAAAATAAACAGTATGGCTGATTGCTGAAATCACAGAGATTTCGGCAGTGTGACATTCATAACAAGACAACTGCATTGTATTACCACGAGACGCGTGTAGACTTGTCATTAAATCTTTACAAATGCAGATCGGTTAACGAGGTTTGTCAATCAATATCACCTACCTGAGAGACGGCGAAAGAGCCTTATATACAACAATGCTTAGCTGTGCCACTTTTAAGAATAATGCGCTATCTTATAGCTCCTCTTAGAATTTTTAATTTACTATGGTAGTAAACGTATCAAGATTCTGAATATTTATTGGAAAATTATAACCTTCATTACCTTGAATACACAGACGCTGCGCCACCAACTCGACGTCTCATTTCTCCAATTGTATAGCTCAAGTATTCTGGATACATTTTCGCTCTCCAAGAGTTCTGTTGTCTATTGATTTCATCCACAAGGGTAGGATCAACTGTGAACATTCTGTTTTCGTCAATTTCTTCTCCAGACAGTGTGTAATTCAGTTGGCTGAAAATCGAAGGGAGACTCTAAATGACAACATGTTTTACTGAAATGAGAGACTTATTCTGTTGGTTTGACTAAAGCTCATGCACTCACACTCAGGTGTCGATTAGAATAAACCACTACGAAATCAGAACCACATTTGAGTTGAAACTCGCAAATAAATTCACGAATTGTAATTTACACAGGTCAAAGTGAAAGCCAAATTGTTCAGATTACAGTTTGGGATCTGTTGCGTACTTTAGTAGGTGATCAAGAAAGCGATTGACTGACGTGAGTAGTCGGATATCATTCACACCAATCAGTAGTGCTCGCTAACCAGATGCAAGCGATCTAGACACCAGACGACCGTTCTCCTGGTTTGAGACGAATGTGACAAGGTGTTCATGCGGTTCGACTCAGTTCAGAGAGATAATTCTGTCCAACCAATTCGATTGAACGTGCATCTGCGTTGTGATAGTCAAGCAATCGTGACGTCGACTGACAGAGCTGTTCAGAGATTTCAAATTCTCATCAGTTCACAGGCGAGCAACAAAAGCACTCACAACCGAGCCTCCACCTCCGCTTTGAATGAGACAGTCTTACACGTAACAGTAAACCTAATAGAAATCAACTTGATATGATATTGATCAATAGTTTGTGCTCGAAACGTCATCAGTTCATATAACTGTACAACACTGTGTGATTTATCAAAATAAAATCTTATCCATAATGGAGTAATAGAAATCAAATCATATTTTTTGAACTGTGTTGAAATGTCCCACGCAGCATACTTACAATTTATGAAAGTTCGCTTTAATTTAAAGGGGAGTTTCACTCAGTTAATAAATTTCCAGTTAACAACTTCTGTAACTGAAGTGGCCGGCTTACACTGGTGGATATGCCTTTGAATAAAGAAAGAACAACAGAGGTTTGTGTAGAATAAGATGCCACCATCATCCGTTTGGTTGCCTACTCGTTATCAGCTACCTAAAGACTAACCAAATTATTGAGTATATGTGCAGAACAATTTCAACATACTTCCAAATACTACATGGTGTCAGTGAATCGCAGGAGGCACTAAACCTAGTGAACAATGCAAGTCCCGACAAAAATAAATGTTTGCTTGCAATGTTTATGGAGTTATGTAATAAAGACGTGAGGTGAGAAAGACGATGTGTAGGTAAAACATTTAGTAGCAGTTCGGTGGATCCAGTTCAACTCATAGAATGAAGAGACAAGTAAAGTCTCAGTGTATAAATGAAAGAGATGTTATATCCAGACATTATGTAATCGAATGAAGGAGATCGCGAGAGAGAGAGAGTAGAGACATCCAGTTACCAGGAATAGATAAGGCTAATAATTGCTTCTCTCCAAACACGTAAGTCAGATTTCAGGCATCTGATAGAGGATGCTTTGGCAAACTTTGTTTGAAATTGAACTCTGAGGGTGAAGACTATATAAGTGTAGTTGTCTGAGCACTGTTTATTGAGTCTGAAGCCTCCTATCGGCTAACACCATGTAATATTTACAAGAGTGTTGAAATTATTCTACATACACACCTAATAATATTTTATAGGCTAGCATCAACTGATGATGATTAGGCAACGAAATAAAAGATGGTACCATCTCATTTTACACAAACAAAGTCATTCTTGCTTAATTTGAATTCACAGAAGGCGAATCAATGTATGGAAGATATGCCTTTGTTTTGTGCATTTCGTAGTTCACAAAGTTGGATAGATGATTCAATAACTGCTGTTTTAGACTTTCTTCTTCGTCCCCTCAGAATCGTCAGATATCATGATCTTACAAGTAGTTCAACAGAAACCAAATCAAATCCAACGAGCAGTGGATACCACTCTTCGTTTCACTTCGCCACTTGTCGTCAGTGCACACTGATGATCCAACCACAGATTGAACGCAGTATCTTCAAACTACATGACATATACGTCGACTTTCAGTAACTATCTGAGTGATACTGGTTCTATTTGGAAATTTATTAAAACCTCTATAAACACCAAATTTCCAAAAGTGCATGTGAGTCAACTAACATCAGAAGAAATGCATGCATGCATGCGGGCATACAAACACGCACAAACGCACATTCAAATCAGTAATATTAATAATACTCACCTTTGAGTCTCACCAAGTTTCGAAGCAGTGAAACAATACCATTGACGGATTAACGTGTCATGTGTCCACATAGGCATCGATTTATGACAATTAAACTTCGATTTCTTCTCATAGTGAAACATAACTAACCATTTTCTATGATTGATAATAATTTCAAAGCCCTTTATGTCACAAATGAATACAGATCGTGTATTACACATGCATATACATATATGAGAACTTTACTTGATTATATATCAGAGTCCATTTCCCCATATTCCCATAAGAATCAGTCACAATATCTGGATATTGTATCTTCATAGTCACAACCCTTTTAGGCTTAACTACAATTGACAAGTAGAAAATTAGTATGATTATACAAGAGGAGAACAGTAGTCATCATAAGAATAGTACTCACATTTACTGGGGCATTTCGACTTGTAATCGCCTACATAAAACACCCATTGACCAATTGCATCCGAATAAGAACAGTTCGCTGGTGTATCTCCACGACTTTCTTCACATAACAACAATACTAATAGGATTGTGAAGCTTATTGTGCAGAAGGAGATTAGGGATTTGAACATTTCTCTGAAATGACAAGTGGGAAAATAAAAGACAGAAAGTGTCAAACTTTAACACACTTTCAAAGATACCGACGTTAAATGTACAATGTTCAATTTGTTTAGTCGTCTGATAAACGTTTTAAAGGACTTGGGTGCGTTTTTGACAGCTTTCAGTGTAGAAGGCATTACTTTTGAAATTGGTTAATATCACGATAACTTTGTATATCTTCTCTGAGACTCCCAAATGCTACACTTTTACAATTAATTCTATCCACAAATGAGTACGGAAATATGAAAATAATTGTATAGATATTGGAGACAGTGGTTGGACTGGTGTTCAAAATGGTCAGGGGACGGTTACTGGCACAACGCTTAATCCCAATATTCTCATTGAAAATTCCAGCGTGATCACTAGTCGTAACGGGATGGTAAATGGCTAGTCTACATCCTACACATCACAAACATGCATGAAATGATGACAACACCAACCATAAGGAATTTAAATTATCATCAGCAAGTAATATTTGAATGCAGAGAAGGAACCTCGGAGAATTCTGAATAATGATAATGATGATTCAGGAAGGATTAAACGTGGCTGGCACTGAAATCCACCAGCTCAATCAGGAAGACGATTGTTTGTTTACCGATCCTTTGGGGCATATTATACAAAACAACCACTAACTTCGTTTCGTCTTTCATTGTAGATGGAGCTTAAGATTGATAGAAGTTATATCTCGGACCACAGTAGTAACAGTTGCTTAACGAACAGAAATACCGTCATGATTTAGTTACATTATCATCAGGAAATAATAATTAGCTTAGTCACAAAAATCTTACGACCATTTTTGAGTAACTTCGCTAGGCGACACCAGCTGGACTTACAAAGCTTTTAATATTGTTGATTTTCCCTAGGCTTTCAAGCGAGAAATACTGTGGTGTGATGCAGACAGTGTGTTCCAAAGGAATATCATTCTCACATATTCCCTCAGTTGAATACTGAGTTATCAAAAGAATGATACATATATCTGAACATTCTATTTCACGCCGTTTCATGAAAGCAAAATCAGACACTCAATGATTAATTAAAGAATATAAGACTGCTTATATATCAATAGTGGTTCAATCAATTGAAATATACATTGGCTTCTGTGTCTTGTCTTCTGCTGCTACAATACGGCTTCAATAACACATCTCCAATTTGTCATCTTCTTCTGACCTCACGATTGCCCATAGTCTCTTATCTCCCGATACGATCTCCTCCATGTCACAACAGGTCACCTAACTCATCTTTCCGCGATTAGGTTCCACTCGATTAATAGCATGATGGGCGATGTCCTCCGACATTCTCCTCACAGTGTTTCCAATCCATCTACATTTTCTGTGTCATAATTGTTGGATGAAACGTTCTTTATCGATTCGTTACCAAAGATTTTGAGTGTCTATTCTTTCTTGCCATCTCATCTTCAGTGTGGAGCCAGCAGCGACTGAGGCGGCCGTTGATAAAATTCTGTAGACCATGGCTGGTAGGTGTGCTTTTCGTGACGCGCTAACCAAGTTTTCGATCCACACACATAAGAGAACTGACCGAGTTGACTTTAGTGTTGAGAACCCGAATATTTCCAAACTGAGTGATGGTTTCTCTCTTTTGACTTTCCGATTCCGGTTTAGATGTCCACATACCTACTGTCGCCTGTAGTTGAAAGGAAGCTGACTGACTAGATAGTGAAGGAAATGACCTCTTTCATCTTTCTCCCGTTGGCCATGACAGTGAATGCTGTTGTTGTTATTAGTGGTGTTGGTGGTGGTGGTAGGTTGACAGTCTTCATAACCTCCATCTTCTGGGTGAAACCTTCAAGTTCAACTAAGTTCATAACCAGTGTTTAATTGGTTTTCCAAGTGATACAACTTCCTGATCTCAGTCCGACCGGATACACCATTGATGAGCTTGACCTCCAAAGAGCTAAACAGCCATTCAAAATTTAGATCCTTTCAGTGTGACAACCGACCACTACTGATTGATGATATGAGTGCTATCCAACTACTCATTTCAAAAAATTAGTAGTATGTGCGAATGTGCAAATATGCTTAGAATGTTCGACGAGACTGTCTGGAATAGATATGGAATAGCGAAATGACACTGACGTGATGAATCCTAGGAGGATTCGAACTAGTGACCTTCGGATAGCAATCCAGAGACTGGGGCTTTGAATGCTACTCATATAATGACCACACAGATTGATATCAAACACAACTAGGGATCGAAATCATACGGTGGATGTTGAGTGGAGTGTTTACTTTTGCTGAAACTGCTAATCAGTTAGTGATTCTATTTAAACATCATTATTATAACCTTATGGATATTATCACCAATACTGACTTGTTTAAAATTGCACAAGTTTTCGTGGATATTTTAACAACACCAATTATAAGGAAAGCGTGATGTCAAGTTTAAACAGAGCATTTACAACAAATCAAAAGTTACATATGAAACAAACATAAAACACCATTCAAGTAGGCAAATGCGCATTTTCGGTAAATTCTCATCAGGCTTACTACAATTACACAATTAACTGTCTGTTATAGATAGACATTTAAAACAATGTGGATCAATAGAATCAAATATAATCGAGGAGAATTTGAGTAGAGCGATGATAATCATACTGATAAACTCAACGGAATCCATCTTGAAATGAATGGTTAACAACTGAACTCCTTCCGTGGCCAGCTAGACACCATGAATTCTTCAACTATCCGGCTAATTTCCTACTGAGAATATAAGGGTTCTGGTGAGTAATGAACTATTCTGAAAATTACGTTTGACGCTTTTCACAACTAGCATACAACAGTGAGATTGTTACTCCACGCTTTCCGTTAATCAACTTATATTTTCAATCCACGACAGATAGTTTGTTCACAATGAAATTCATGAGAAGAAGTTACCTATCGTTCTCAGAGGAGCCGTTATATAAGTGGAAATCATTTGTCAAAGATATCAAGATATAATCTTAGTATTACAGTAGATAAATTCGATTTCAGTAGAGAAATTACTCAAGGTTTACTCACTTGAATGTGTAAAAATGTAAACAGTGTACACCTATGTGGTGGCGATCAGCTAACAGTATCTATTCGGCTCATCCATAGCACATATATATTTGACTTCAGATTGACCTTTGATTAGCCCGTCGTGAATGCAAACAGCGCTATCATTAATTTGTTAATTTATTTTCTGTTAACTATATGTACTTTTAAAGATTAAAGTTTTTTTTGATATTGAACACTTAAGATAAGTTTAAGTGGTCAACGCTTAGGTAAACATACACAGTGGTCAGAGTTGTAAGGCAGTATTAATAAACTGCTAAAGTAATTTGAACACGAAATCTATGAGTACCACTTATTCACAAACCAAATCATATTATTACGTAGGAAGATCGAGGCGATAGGTGCTATCTTGACTTGATGATTGGTCCAATGAATTACTTACTCTGGCTGAAACGAATGTTTCTGAGGGACTTAACATGCTAAAAATGTCATCTGGATGGAAGCTAGACTAAGAGCGGAAACTGTCTTCGCCTAAGATGCTCACACTATTGTGATGGGTTTGATGGCGAAGTCTTATCGTTGGCGGACAGGGATGCAATATAAGTAAGATATTCATACCAACATATGTGTGATAAACGCTAGGCAGTTCTTCACACAGCCCTGAGGTAACGCAACACTAAAACTCTTCATATTTCAGTTATTTCAAGGAGGAGTCATCTTCCATGGTGTAGGCAGTTTGACCTTAATAAACAACTAAACACATGATTTCATAAGCGATCCGGAGGATTGGAAAGTGTTTACAAAATTAAGTCAGAAATTTGCCGTAATATACAAATATGTGTTGAATAAAAATCCATGGAAGTTGTTGATTCATCTATGTGATTGCGTTTCAAAGGAGAAGGCGTTTCCGGAGTATTATTAGAAGGAAACTACAAAAGATGCATATGCTGCAGCCATCGGAGAAAAGTCAGAGACACTACGTGGCATCAATGAGAAAACACTGCGTGTAAGAACATTGGAACTCTCTGCATGTGACGTTGGAGGAAACGTACATGGAGGTTTATTGACAAGAGAACATACGAGACAAGGAATAGCTCTCTACGGACACTTGGAAGCTAATAAAATAGAGGAGGATGGTGAGACAAAAGACGACTCAGTACACGAATGGTGAAAATAAAGGAGTAGCTAAGTTCATTGTACACTGCAATGAATAAAGAATTGAGGTAGAATCCCAAGAGAGATAAAAGACGATGGCAAATGAATCAGAACATATCACATGCGACACAGTCCTTAGAACATTATATCAGATAATAACGTCTCTATCCGGGATGAGATGAACACATATGATGAAACCGAAAATAGATGGTCAAGGGAACATAATCACGAAGAAGAGGAGGCTGAGAAAACAGTGGGTTCATCCCTTCGAAGGACTCTTCAATCCACAATCACTAAATAGTTGACCGGGAATACCATCAACTGTTGGCATCAATCCTACAACGAAAGTAGAAGTCTTCAGTACAATCGCGATACTGAAAGTCAGCCGGGGAGTCGGTAGGATCAGATGGAAATCCTCCTGAGGCACTGAAAACAGGCCCAGAGACGCTAGAGAAATACGTTGTGCCGGTAAGTGAAACATTTCAGAGGAATGAAGACATAGTGCAGTATGACAGACAGAAGATACCATAATTCATTCACTAAAGGAACAGTGGACTGGAAGTGACAAACCACAATCTCCTCTACAATATGGAGGAATTTTCAGGTGTTGGTTTGCTGCGATTTGATTAATTTCAAGATTGATTACAAAGTGATTTTAGTTGGCTAGTGGCTGAAAACCAAGGAGTCGTGGACAGCTGTTTCGTCCTTGCTGTGAACTATTCCGTAGTACGCTTTCACGACTCCGCCAATAATAGAATGGTGAACCTTTATATTAAAAGACCACACAGACACTGGCGGGGGAATCCAGCCACACATTATTTCCTGACTTCTGCCAATTCTCAGTGCTCGACAGCGTCGTTGGTGAATATTCGTACCCACATCCAACTTGCTGAATTCTGCTGGTCATCACTTCTCCTCAGAACTTCGGGCAAATTCCTCGCATAGCCAGAATCTGGGAAGACATACATATTAATCCCCGAGTGTTGAAAGGAACCTGATACTGATTGTATTTTATTTTACAAGCCTAAGTTATTCTGAAAATTGATGTGTTAATCGACAACCACTTCTGCTGCCATAGAGTTGACAATATCTTGTACCAGGTTTGTGAAGAATAATGATGCTATCTGACTGCTTGAACTTTACTAGGTACAGCCACATCAGGTCATGTGACTTGATTTTCGGAAGTTGAGCTCTTGGTCCACTTATCCCTTATTCAGTTCCTGTTGTAAACATATATTTATGGATCTCATAATTCAACTTTTCTTTAATTTGAGGCATGAATACTTTAGTCCCATCTGGAATCTTAATATATTCAATCTCTTTCGCTCATACACCACTGAAGGGTGATTCACACAGACATTTAATAGAATGCAAAATATTTACAAAATAAGAAAAGTCGTTCACCGAAGAATTTCTCATTTACCAACATTCCTGCATGTTCTGTAGATGACTCAGAAGTTGTTTTGTGGGTTAGCTCGGTGAACATATACAAATGAATTTTCCAGGTGAGAAGTGCATGAATTGGGGGGATTATCCTTCTCTTTTACAGAACCGTGATGGCAAGTGTCCGATGAAAAGGTTGGAGAGCAAACTCTGGATACGACCAACATACTTAGCTGCACATGGGCAATTACCGCGCGAACTTTGAAAAGGGAGTTAATTTTCACGCTCTTGTTTATAATTGGATTTTGTTGTGTTATACGCTTCAAAAGTCCACAGATTTAACTTTAAATCAGTTTATTCTGGTCGAAGTTAGTTTACGTTTCAGATCTGAGTCTATTAATTATAGGAAGTGTTCTTATAACATAATAGCTACATATATCTATCTTTGTGCACTCATTAGCTTTTATCACTGATTTACAAAGGTTGTATATATATATATATATTTGAAGTTGTATTTAACTTTTCCTGGTTCGTTTTAAATAAAATGCCTATTAAAAGAAACCGCTGCGGAAGGGCTATGTGCCAGTTTCCAGTGGATGAGGGAATGCAGTGTGATAACTGCAAGAGATGGTTTCACAGTATGTGCACGAACCTTACTCCAGCAGCATACAAACGCTGCTGCAAACCTCTAGCGAACTGGTTATGCAACGACTGCTGTAGTACAACTAAACTCCGTATTACAGAAGCCATAGCTACTCTTAGTGGGGCTTTAAAGCTCATGGACTGCAAGCGTCCTCCACCACAGAAGAATACCGACTATTGCTCAGATAGCGATGACGTGACTAGTGTCATTGACAAAACACCACATGTCCCAGATGCGACCTTGCCAATAAGTGAGTGCTCTACAGCACAGAAGAACACCCACCATATTACAGACACCCAGGTCGCCCCCATGATACTGGATGAGCCCTCCAGTGACAGTAATGGAAAGACTGCCGTGAAGAAGAGGCGTAATAGAGGTCGAAAACCTGCAGCTCCAGTCGCCCAGGGACTGGCGGAACAAGCCTCATCCACACCGGTGAGCAGCAGACAGATGAACCCCACTAAGATTAGCGAGGAGGACGCCAATGAATGGCGCACCGTAGTCTCTCGCAAAAAGCGAGATAAGGATAACACTTCGGCCACACCGCCCAAGAAGGATAGAAACACACTTACGCCTCAGGGCAAGAAAGTCACGGAAAGCAAACCCGATTTCTCTGATAGGTCTCTCATTCTCCACAAAGTGGAGGAGTCACTGGCTCTCGACCCTAAGACCAAATTCGAGCATGACCTTAACTTGGTCAAGCCCCTTTTAAACAAGCTACTGCCACAAACAGTATCAGGCATTACTATACACAGCGTACACAGAATAGGTCAAAATGCAAAGGCACAACCTAAGAAAATTTTCTCGTACTTGAATTTCAGGAATAAAACACCCAATGGTGTCCCAAACCTGATTATTGACAAAGATACAATCGAAGAAGATCAAGAAAAAGCAGAAGCAATGGCAAACTACTTCTCCCAAGTCTTCACTCAGGAGTCATCACTGCCTATAGGATCAGCTCTGGCTGCATCAGAAGAACATGGGATAGATTCCGTTGACATCGACCAAGGCATCGTGCTCAACTTCTTAATGAAACTAGATGCAGGAAAATCAATGGGTCCTGACAGTCTTCATCCAAGGCTTCTCAAGGAGCTATCAGCCCACATAGCCGGCCCCTTGACCACGATCTTCAAGCTATCTCTCCAAAATGGAGTGTTGCCACGTGATTGGAAAGACGCCATAGTAACCCCCATCCACAAAGGAGGATCAAGACAAAGCCCTTCAAATTACAGGCCTATCAGTCTCACCAGCACTTTAATCAAGACACTGGAAAGAATTATCAAGAAAAGCATCATGGCTTATCTGGAAAATAGCAGCTTGTTATCTGGAGCACAGCATGGCTTCCGGAGGAACCTCTCATGCCTGTCAAATCTCCTGACTGCAAGAGAAAGCTGGGTCAAATCAAAGGATAACAGAAGACCCGTTGACGTCGTCTTCATAGACTTCAGTGGAGCCTTTGATAAAGTACCTCACAAAAGACTACTCATGAAATTGGAAAGTCTTGGTATCAAAGGCAGACTACTAGACTGGCTCAGGGAATTCCTCATAGATAGGAGGCAGAGGGTTAGGATCAACTCAAAACTCTCCTCCTGGACAGCAGTAAGTAGCGGAGTGCCACAAGGCACGGTTCTCGGTCCTCTCCTTTTTATTCTGTATATC